GACAGAGAAGATCAAATCAAAATAATTCCCATCTAATTAAATTCATAACAAATTCATCATTTCAACATTTCCTAAATAAGTTGATCGATGTAAATCATCAAAACAAGAACTTGATGAAACAATTTGAAAATTGCTAATTACTTTGCAAATGTATTAAAAAAATTTTACAACTTTAAACAGGCCATCAATGTACTTAAGGATATAACAACAATTCAAACTAGAGTGTTAGGTGTTAATCATGTTGATGTTTCATATTCGTACAACGAGATGGGTTGGTTGCTTCGGGAGAATGGAGAGTACGAAAAAGCAAAAGATTTTCATGAACGAGCGATGAAAATTCAAACAAAAGCATTTGGACCTGACCATGTTAATATAGCGACAACGTACAACAATCTGGGTTTGGTTTACATAGATATGGGAGAGTACGAAAAAGCAAAAGATTTTTATGAACGAGCGATAGAAATTCAAACGAAAGCATTTGGACCTGACCATGTTAATATCGCGAAAACGTACAACAATCTGGGTTTTGTTTACAGTAAGATAGGAGAACACGAAAAGCCAAACATTTTGTAAACAAGCGATGAAATTCAAAAAGCATTTGGACCTGACCATGTTAATATCGCGACTACGTACAACAATCTGGGTTTCGTTTACAGTGATATGGGAGAGTACGAAAAGCAAAAGATTTTACGAACGAACATTAGAAATTTACAAAAGCATTTGGACCTGACCATGTTAATATCGCGACAACTTACAACAATCTGGGTTTTGTTAACAGTAAAATAGGAGAGTACGAAAAAGCCAAACATTTTTGCATACAAGCGATGGAAATTCAAACGAAAGCATTTGGACCTGACCATGTTAATATAGCGACAACGTACAACAATCTGGGTTTGGTTTACAGTAAAATAGGAGAGTACGAAAAAGCCAAACATTTTTGCATACGAGCAATGGAAATTCAAACGAAAGCATTTGGATCTGACCATGTTAATATCGCGACAACCTACAACAATCTGGGTTTGGTTTACAGTGATATGGGAGAGTACGAAAAAGCAAAAGATATTTACGAACATGCAATAGAAATTAAAACAAAAGCATTTGGTCTTGATCATGTTAATATTGCGACAACGTACAACAATCCGGGTTTTGTTTACAGTAAGATAGGAGAGCAAGAAAAAGCCAAACATTTTTGTATTCAAGCGATGAAAATTCAAAGGAAAGCATTTGGACCTGACCATGTTAATATCGCGACAACGTACAACAATCTGGGTTTTGTTTACAGTAAGATAGGAGAGCACGAAAAAGCCAAAAATTTTTGCATGCGAGCGATGAAAATTCAAACGAGAGCATTTGGACCTGACCATGTTAATATCACGACAACGTACAACAATCTGGGTTTTGTTTACAGTAAGATAGGAGAGCACGAAAAAGCCAAACATTTTGCATGCGAGCGATGAAAATTCAAACGAGCATTTGGACCTGACCATGTTAATATCGTGACAACGTACAACAATCTGGGTTTGGTTTACATAGATATGGGAGAGTACGAAAAGCAAAAGATTTTTATGAACGAGCGATAGAAATTCAAACGAAAGCATTGGACCTGACCATGTTAATATCGCAAAACGTACAACAATCTGGGTTTTGTTTACAGTAAGATAGGAGAACACGAAAAGCCAAACATTTTTGTAAACAAGCGATGTAAGTTCAAAAAGCGTTTGGACCTGACCATGTTAATATCGCGACTACGTACAACAATCTGGGTTTCGTTTACAGTGATATGGGAGAGTACGAAAAAGCAAATGATTTTTACGAACGAACATTAGAAATTTACACAAAAGTACTTGGACCTGACCATGTTAGTATCGCGAGAACTTACAACAATCTGGGTTTTGTTAACAGTAAAAGCTGACATAAAACAAACTATGACAGCTGTTCTACCTAAACCAGTGTTCCCAAAACGGACAGCTATTACTAGGTGTTGTGATCTGTCATCTAGAATAAAGAGTTTGGTCCACGAGTGTACTAATTCAACTTCACTAGCCAGCCTGGAAAAGAGTCTTCAGTCTGCACTTCAGGAATTTGAGAATAACAGCAATACTGATTCAGGACTAGCACTTACAGCTCCTGACGCCGGGAAAACGTCAATGAAACGTAAAAAAAGAACATCAAATATCAGCAAGTCAACAACCAGCAATCCTAAAAAGAAAGCCAGATTATCTAATCTACCATCTGCAAAATTAAAGAAGATACACCCATACAATAGAAGAGTTGGCCAACATGCTGCAATGATGAGAAAATTCTATAATAAAGACTTATCTCTAGAGAAAATGGAAACGCAATCATCCAGCAAAGATACACAAACAATTCCTTTCATGCCAACTCCTCACACAGGTTTCATACCTCTCATTACAGAATCTTCATCAATCACCGCAAAACTATTAAGGAATGGACCACATTCTGTATCTCTGCTAGAAATTAAATCATTAGAGCCATTTTTGCACAGAGAAACACAGATTTTACTTAGTAGCATGAGTGAAAAACCTTTCATACCTGGCTGGTTGTATGATGAAGTAATCAATTCATTTTTCTGGTGTCTACAGGAAGATCATGAACATGTTCTTTATGCAGCATCCACATCAATGCTTTCCTTGCAAAATGGTGGTCAGGGAGGAAGACTTTGGTCTGAAAAGAGCAATGAAAAAAATGTCATTATAGCACCTTGGAACCCAACTCACTGTCACTGGACATTGATTGCCATAGATCTGCAACAGAGAAATATTTTTTATGTTGATCCATTGAATGCAGCTGATGATATTAAAAACAAGGCACAGATGCAGATTATAGCAAAATTCATCCCTTTAATTATTGAAAACAAATTTGGTCTGTCAGAATTTCAGATCTCCTCACCACATACTCTTCAACAAGATACTTCAAGTTGTGGTGTTTTTGTTTGCTGGTATGCATCACAGTTTGTGCAAGGAAAGTCAATGAGTGATGGCTGTGATCCATATAAGATGAGGGTTAGAATTTACAACGAAATAAGAGGAACTTGTCTAAAACAACACTCACAACAGCCAGAACTTTCCAAATGCCCACTATGTGGAGCACCTGTTTTTGAAGAAAACTTAAAATGTATACGGTGCTGTCAATCCTACCACATATTATGTATGGACTCTGAAAATCATCCTACAACAAGGAATCCTCACTTTTATTGCCCACCATAAACTGAAAGGACTCTTCCTAAAATAAATGACAGGTGATTGGAAATGGAGAAAAACATGCAAATAGAGAGTAAAAATTATATGCCCCAAGCGGCCCTCATGTCAATTTTGATGTTTCGACACAAAATTACTAAATTAGTTTCTGTCCCTAGAAGGCATTTTTGAAAATTCCAAGACCCCCCTAAATTTAGGGGGGGTAGAAACTATGCTAATAGGGTAATGATTGTCTAGGTAAAGTTAACACACAACAACCATTCCCATAAAACAGTCTAAAGGATGGGCATGTGTAAATACATCCACCAAAACCAATCATCACCCATTGCCTATGTAATTAGTAATACTAGTTTGTGTATCATATACATATGTATAGCATACTCCAAGTAATATGGCGATTGCTTCAACACCTAAACCAATGTATAGCCTATATAATAACAAACTTAGCTTGTGCTTTACACGTTTCCAGTGCAGTAATTGTTGTCTTATATTTTAACTGTGTTGCATTTGCCCTGTAATTACTTCTTGTGTAATGATTTCGGCGAAAATATCATCATCAACTCAAGAATGTTTGAATTTGAATACTAACATAACACAATTGAAAATTGAGTATTTTCTACCATTTATCGTTGATAGAAATGTGCTAAAAACCGTCGCTGCAATAATTCGCACAGTGCAAGTACAGCACTACAAATTACAAAATATCGGTAAATAAATTAAAAGTATACAATACTTGCTCACCTAGTCACCTTAGTCATCTTTATCTTTGAAATGACGTTTGAATAAAACCCGCTATTATTTAAGATATTTCACTATCCCACTATCTTCTGTAAAGCCATATAAAGTATAAAACGCCATGGCAAGTTGCAAGCACGTAAGAAATAGGAATGTTATCATGATAAATAAATAATATATATTACTACAACATTGTAGGTGATTTAGAGAATCAGTTTGACCAATCAGGTAAAAGAGGATTTACTACAACATTGTAGGTGATTTAGAGAATCAGTTTGACCAATCAGGTAAAAGAGGACTTACTAAATCATTGTAGGTGATTTAGAGAATCAGTTTGACCAACCAGGTAAAAGAGGATTTACTACAACATTGTAGGTGATTTAGAGAATCAGTTTGACCAATCAGGTAAAGAGGATTTACTAAATCATTGTAGGTGATTTAGAGAATCAGTTTGACCAACCAGGTAAAGAGGATTTACTACAACATTGTAGGTGATTTAGAGAATCAGTTTGACCAATCAGGTGAAAGAGGATTTACTAAATCATTGTAGGTGATTTAGAGAATCAGTTTGACCAACCAGGTAAAAGAGGATTTACTACAACATTGTAGGTGATTTAGAGAATCAGTTTGACCAATCAGGTGAAAGAGGATTTACTACACCGTTGTAGGTGATTTAGAGAATCAGTTTGACCAATCAAGTGAAAGATGATTTATTACACCATTGTAGGTGATTTAGAGAATCAGTTTGACCAATCAGTTAAAAGAGGATTTACTACACGGTTGTAGGTGATTTAGAGAATCAGTTTGACCAATCAAGTGAAAGATGATTTATTACACCATTGTAGGTGATTTAGAGAATCAGTTTGACCAATCAGGTGAAAGAGGATCTTACAAGCCTGAATTTGATTTGATCCAAAGTGGTTAGCTTTGATGTGATTTTGCAAAATTTTAAATAAATTTCAAAGGTGAAAAGAAAGTAGATTTGCAATTGTCGTACTACAGGATTTTCGGAAAGAAATTTGGCGCAATTTCGTATCAGTCTTATTGCTTCCATACTCGTGTCCGGGAAACTTGCGTTGCATGCGAATTCCGAGAGACACTTGACGGCATCTTGGAAAGAGTCGATGGTCGCGGAGAAATATTTCTCAAAAATCGTGGCTGAAAGAGAGAATGGGGATGTGAAATTTATACACTGATAATCTTGTGGGATAAATGAATCTGTCAAAGCTTTGATTTACAAGTGACGTTGAAACAGTAGAGAAACAGGGCTAGAAAAGTTTAAAAAACTCTGCCTTTTGACACGTAATTTGCATCAACTAAAAACTGTTTCATACATTTATTTCATTTCTCCATTAACTCTCGTTTAATTATCATTCATGAATCATGAGAAGATAATCCATCGACTTTATGGTAAATAAAGTTTACCTTGAAAACTTATACGAATATGGCTGAATTACCATGAAAAGAACGAACACATAAAATTCTTGTTGCAAAATAAACGAAGTTCTCCGTCACATCCGAGAAACACATTTACTTAAGCGATATTCAAATTCAATTTGAATTTAATTCAATATTTTACAGATGTCTAAGTCGTTCATGCTTGGAAACGGATTCACCATCATTTCTTCAAACATATGCAAACATTTTTATTTTAAAATTTTAAAATTTGCACCGATACAAGAACCTCACCCAAGAGAACAACAGACAGGTCGGCGGTAAGATTAGAAGAAAAATCTCCTTCCTTAAACTACAAACCTGTTGTTTGAAAGCGAGTTCCACGATTCCTTCATCATGATCGGACGCAGCCAAATGAAAACGGAGAAAACATTTTTCCAACCAGATTTGATGTTTGCGGCTTGCGAATGAACCATTTGTGTGACACATCGTACGACCATATCTCGAATTGTGGAAGAACTAAAATGTGAAAAATCCAGTTGTTGATTCAAGCAAATCGTAGACTGAAAATTGCAGTCCTTGTTGCCAAGTTCATAAAGATATTGAAGAAAGAATTTTAATCAAATCCTTCCAATTATAAGAGACAAGACAGAGCGATTGATCGAAAGACGTCCTTTGTAAAATTCGTCGTAAAATTATAACTTGAAAAGAATCTACAAAGTCTGCCACAAATTTTGTTTATTTGAGAGAAAGATTTTCAAGCTGCAAGAAAATTTACATTTTCTGACAGAATTGACTCCTGCATAAACTTACCTGTTTCTTCATTATGTGTTCGAAGGGTCGGAGAAAATCCTTTTGAAATCGGAAATTTGGCAATTCCCCCTTTTCCAAGAACTTCATGGATAATTGTCGCAAAGAAGAACGCAACTTCTTTATTAGAGTTACAACCACACTAAAATGACACATGAATTATCTAAGATGGAGAAGTACTATAGTTGGTAGAACATTGGAGATGAAGGCATTGATTATATTGTTTTTATACTTGAGATATGAAAGAAACTAGAACTGTGTTTTAAAATATCATCATAGTTCACAATTGATCTGATAGTGTAGTTCATAGAACATTGAAGACAATGATTATCTTGTTACTATACCTGAGTACATCATAACAACGTGATGTTATTAACCATAATATCAAGATACAGTCTTAGTCGTTAATAATTGCTAACCTTGTTATAATGATCTCCCAACACAGCCCATATTCGTGACCATTGCAGCCGAATACGAACAATATTGTAATAAGCAATCTCTACGATCTTCTGCAGACTAAACATACGTATCATTGTAGGATTGGAAAGCTGAACTTCCGAGACTTGACGTAAACCTTCCACGAAATCGACTTAGGAGAAAAACGAAAACATTTTGAGATTTGGATACAGGAGATAACGATACTTGGGATTTGAGAACTCGGGATTTGCATACTGGGGATTTGGGATACTGGGGATTTGGGATACTTGGGATTTGGATACTTGGGATTTGGTATTTGGGAACAGGGAATTTGGATACTAGAAATTTGGGTACTTGGGATTTCGAGTATTGGAGATTTGGGTACTTGGGATAAAGAATGGTCAGTGAATTATGGTCAAGTTAGATGTATAAAAATCTTATGTAAGATGCATTTTAATGTATACATGCAAACCTACCGATAGCATCACCATCCTGTTTCACTGATCATCCCGTGAAAACTCTAAACGTAATAAAACACAATGAAGAAGTTGAGATGAAGATATTCTGCTGAGAGAACATAACGCAAAGACAGTGCAGGAGTTCTTTAAAATTTATTTTCATGTTTATATTCAAGGTTCTCTGGTTCACTTAAGCCTGAAGATGACTACCGCTAAGGATGTCAAAACGTCAGTCAACAATAACAATAACAGTCCTTCTCAGGACTCTGCTAACACGGACAATGAACATGTCTACATAGAGAATCATCCATCAACATTTCTTGCTGTTACAAGCCCAACTCTACCTTAAAGACAATTTTAAAGATTTCTGGCAGGGGGGAAGGGAAGAAGCAAGAACGCTGGATGGGAGGGGTGAATATTTAGTTTTGCTTGACTGATTTGGTTTAAAAGCTATTTTAATTTGAAAAGAAATTAGTTGGTCACAGCGGAATGTATGACCATATATATGAATATTCACCTCTCCCCCTGCATTAACGTTCTAGCTTCGCCCCTGGGGTGGGAGATAGGTCACAAAAGACAATCCACATAGCTATCATTAAAGTAAACGTTACCTGTCAACTGCAACGACAACACTTTGTGCAGCGGTCTCCCAAATGGCTTCCTGTGAGCCAGCCGCTTTTTTCGAGTCAGCGGCAACAGGCATCCGACCTTCATAGAAATACAAACAAAGAAAAGCACCCAACGTTAGTATTTGACATTTATGAGCGTCACAACAATGTTATAAGCAACCTGAGGTTATATCATAAGATGTCTTGTTGTTTGCGATGAATGCTGTGGGTGAATTAGTAACACCGCTGGACGCCGTGTGAAGGTATCGCGTTTTCACACCAGTACCGATAAGTTGAGCCAATTCAAGTTGGGAAATGCATTTCAGTATCTAGAATGAAAACAATGACTTTAGGGAAACGTAAAAATATGCGCCGAGCGGAACGAGCATTTGAGCAACGAAAACGAGTGTTCAACAAGACGAACATAAACGTTAAATACATACGTAGAAAATATCTTCAAATAAAAAATATCTTGAGAAAAAACTTCATTTTCTTATGTATATTTATTACAGATGTACATTTGTGATACGATTCTCTGATGAAGGGTATGAAATACGGTCAACAAAGCACTTGGAAAAATGAAAGGTAAAGACTGTAGCAATATCGTGAAGATAAGACTACAGACAAGACCTAGACTTTTTCCTTTGATGAAAAAACAATCGATCATATTTTCAGTCGTAGACGCCAACCATAATATATAGCAAGATGATTCTCTCTACCTCGAGCCAAGACTTCCCGATGTAATTACCATCCGTTTGAGCGATGGTAAGAAGTGTCTTGATCGTCTCCATGTTCTTCGTTTTCATTTCATGAATATGCGTGCCACTGGTCGCAGTAAGTAAAGTGAACCTGGATAGCGCTTGTACGAAAGCATTTCTTTCCAACTACAATGTGAAAAGAGTTATTAGGAGTATCGAAAAATGAACTTAATGGTAAAGAATCTCCATTCATATTCCCTAACATCATTATAACTAGGAGTTACTATCGCAAGGGAAGTGCTGCCCCTCCACCAAGTAAGGTAAAACAGTTTGGAAACTGCTATTGCGTGTTTTCCATCATTTATCATCTGCCATAAAACAATACAATAATGAATGGTAAAATAAAAATACAGCAAGAAACCGCAACAACTCGTATACTTTGTCATTGCATAAAGACAAGCTAATTGTGTCATCTTTATTTTCAAATTGTCATATAAATCAATTTATAGAAGTAGATGCAAGAAGTAACACTGTATGTATGTATAATTATGCTAATTTCAAAATGGAATAATTGGATGAACAGTTTTCAAAGCTCATTTTACAAAAATTTGCATATTGTCATTTAGAACTCGGCCAATAACAATTAAATCATGTTAACCGGAGCTTAAATGAAATTTTCAGAATTTCATTCACTTGGTTGCCAACAGCACAAGATCAACACATCCATCAATACAAATCGTTATATGGTGTCATATATGTATCTCTTAAGGGCTCTTTTCCACTCATCGCAAAGTGCTCTCGCTGCGAGCTTGCGAGTCTGTTCGCGCGATCAAAAAATTTTGTTCAATTAATTTAACTATGCTGCAAGTCATGGTAAGCTCGCAGCGAGTAACTCGCAGGCACTCGCAGCGAGCTTGCGAGTACGTTTTGCGATGAGTGGAAAAGAGCCTTAAGTCTCCCTGTGCTTCTTTGTTAGTATATCATATGTTTTCACCTGGATTCATGTTACTCAGTTGTTTTAGCGAGGAATCACTTTTATACACATACAAACTTGAATGGTACATACGAGTACATACGAGTACATACGAGTAACATACGAGTACATACGAGTGACATACGAGTACATACGAGTAACATACAAGTACATACGAGTAACATACGAGTACATACGAGTACATACGAGTGACATACGACTATTTTCTGGTCAACAAATGAGAAACAACACAATTTCTTCAATACATTGATATTTGCGTTTATTTTTCCTTGTATTTGTGTGGACTTTGGGGCAACCATTTGATGGATTTAAATGCTGAAAAGGTATTTTACTTTTATACTACATTCATTTGTATGTTTTAGTTGAATTTGTTATAGATATTTTGTCGATGCGATTTTGCCAGTATTTGAGCGCTTTTTTGAAACACTTTCACCTAGGAAATACATATTTATGAAAGCGATTAAATAAACAACGTATAAATAATGCTTTCAAAACGTGCTACATGAAATAAATGTACATTATATATATTTGAATTAAATGAGAGTTGCACTGTTACGTATAGTCCTGAGACGGACTGTTTTGTTGTTGTTGACGTTTCGACAACCTTAGCGTAGTCATCTTCAGAGTCAAAATGAATGTATAATCGCTTTCATAAATATGTATTTCCTAGGTGAAAGTGCTTCAAAAAGCGCTCAAATACTGGCAAATCACATCGACAAAATATCTATAACAAATTCAACTAAAACATACAAATGAATGTAGTATGAAAGTAAGACCCTTGGTTGCAAAACATCTACATGGCATAACTGAAAAGATCTGGTCCGATGAGACCATTCCTGCTGAACTCCGTGATGCAAACATTATCAACATCTTCAAGAAGAATGACCGCCATAACCCCAACAATTATAGAGGCATCAGTCTGTTGGCTGTAGCCAGGAAAATAATCACTCTAATGATTGACGAAGCAGTACTGCCAGAAACCAAGTGTGGATTCCGCCGAAATCGTGGAACGAGTGATATGATATTCGCCCTTCGACAGCTCATCGAGAAATCGAGAGAACAGAACCAAAAGCTGTACATGACTTTTGTTGACTTTACCAAAGCGTTTGATCTTGTGAACCGTGAGGCACTGTGGACCATCGTCGCAAAAATGGGCTGCCCACCAAAATTTGTGGATATCTTAAATTTATTACATATCAACATATGCGTCAAGATCTCGGTAGGCGGCGGATTGACTCGTGACATTCAATACAAAATGGGTGGAAGCAAGGTTGTATACTTGCTCCCACCTCTCCCTCTTTGCGACTGCTTTCTTTACATATGCCTTTCAAAACATACCTGAAGAAGGCATATACATACGATCCAGGATGGATGGCTCCTCTACAACCTTCGTCGCCTCCAAACCAGCACCAAATGCGGACACTGATGAGAGAATTTCAATATGCAGATGATTGCGCTTTTGTTGCCAACTCGGAGGAATGCTTTCAGCGGATGATGGATAACTTCGAGGCTGCTACCAAATCATTCGGCGTTATCATCAACACGAAGAAAACAGAAGTCATGTCTCTCTCGTACTCACCGATCACGTCCCCGATCACTGTCAATGACACTTCGCTATCAAACGTTCAATCATTCAAGTATCTTGGCAGTACTGTCACCAGCGACTGCTCCATTGACAAAGAACTTGACAACCGCATACAGTGTGCCAGTTCGTCATTCGGCAGGCTGTGGAAACGTCTGTGGTCTTCGCATGACATTAAAGTTACTACAAAGATCGCCGTGTATAATGCAGTGGTACTGTCGACTCTCTTATATGGTGCCGAATCTTGGACGTTATACCGTAGACACGTCGCACGTCTCCATCGGCTACACCAACGTCACCAACGCGCAATCCTCCGCATTTCCTATCGATAAAGAGTAACAAATGGCGAAGTTCTGACGAGAGCCAGCTCCATGGATATTGAGTTTACCCTCGCCAAAATGCAGCTAAGGTGGGCTGGTCATTTTGCTCGCATGGCAAACAATCGATTACCCAAACAGCTACTCTTTGGTGAGCTCGCTGAAAGAAAGAGACGTACTGGTAGTCCACTCCTGCGTTGGAAAGACTCTCTCAAATACACTTTGAAAACATGTCAAATTTCAATACATAATTGGCAGCTCGAAGCGGCGGATCGATGCGACTGGAAAGACAAGTCACGTAACGGTCTCAACAAGATGGATGATTTGACGCGACGGAGCAACGCTGTTAAACGATCAAGACGTCACGCTACCAGGAACGCCTCCACTGTCGCAGACTCGGGAGAATTTCGTTGTCACACTGCAATAGAACCTGCGCAAGCCGCATTGGCATCTAAAGTCACGAGCGCGCTTGTGGAAGTCAGTGAACAACATGGACAGTTGCAGACAGCCATCGTCGATTCGACGGGCAGCATCTCTTACTTCTTATTCGGAATTGCCTTTGCATGCAGGTCATTCACAAGTAACGTTTAAAATGCTCTTGCTCAAAACTTTGGGTCCTTTTTTCAGCAGGTTGGCCGTAAGTTTGGTTATGGGAAAATGTCATCTCTCTCCCCAGACTCCCCATAAAAACTCTAGAAAACAACAGTAGTTCTGGGGAAATGTCAACACTCTGTCCAGACTCCCCCATGACAACTCTAGAAAACAACAGTACTTCTGGGGAAATGTCAGCTCTCTCCCCAGACTCTCACATGACAACTCTAAATAACAACAGCAGTTCTGAGGAAATGCCTCCTCTCTCCCCAGACTGCCTTATGACAACTCAGACAACAACAGCAATTCTGGGGAAATGTCACCTCTCTCCCCAGACTCCAATATGATAACTCTAGACAACAACAGCAATTCTGGGGAAATTTCTCCTCTCTCGCCAAGACTCCCATATGAAACAGTTTTTAGTTGATGCAAATTACGTGTCAAAAGGCAGAGTTTTTTAAACTTTTCTAGCCCTGTTTCTCTACTGTTTCAACGTTACTTGTAAATCAAAGCTTTGACAGATTCATTTATCCCACAAGATTATCAGTGTATAAATTTCACATCCCCATTCTCTCTTTCAGCCACGATTTTTGAGAAATATTTCTCCGCGACCATCACTCTTTCCAAGATGCCGTCAAGTGTCTCTCGGAATTCGCATGCAACGCAAGTTTCCCGGACACGAGTATGGAAGCAATAAGACTGATACGAAATTGCGCCAAATTTCTTTCCGAAAATCCTGTGGTACGACAATTGCAAATCTACTTTCTTTTCACCTTTGAAATTTATTTAAAATTTGGCAAAATCACATCAAAGCTAACCACTTTGGATCAAATCAAATCCTAATTATCTATTTCAATCGCTTTTTCGTGTAGCATTTTTCAATGGCGTCTGTTTTCTTTTCTTTTATAAACAGATATTTAAAGACTACGGAGTAGAGAATGCTGGGATATCAGAGCAGGACAGAATCTGTGTGAAAGGCTGGTTTCCAGTCCTTTGAGCTTTCGTGTATCATCAACCGATGTAAACTAGATGTCAGAACAAGGTATGGTGGAAATATCGAGTTGTTTGTACTGTATAGATTAGTATGCATTGTATAATTTGAATGTGAGCTATTTTCCATCCATCAACTAGAGGCCTAACCGTGATGTTTGAAATCATGAAAACATACGGAACACGTTTCTCCAACATTGGTGGCGTGATGTGTTTAAAGTCTTGTTTCGAATTTTCGACAACATGAAACTACCAGACAGACAGATAGATTGGCAGGAGGTTAGAAAACTGTCATTATTTTGCTCTTATTATATGGCAAGCGTCACTTCCGGCTAAATGGCGCTTTGATTCGCAGAAACATTTTTCCGGTCCATTATTCTCCCGTAATCGACCACGTTTCAAAACGCGTAGTTTATAATATGTCGTTATTTTGGTCTTATTGTCTATGATTGCCATAAACACACATTATATCGCAAAAAGTCAACTTAAATACACGACTATCCAGTTCCACATGGAATAATATTCATTTCATGTGTTCATGTCTATCCACCTTCATTCCTCATTCACTCATCCATTTCAATTTTGTATCCACTCCATTGAACTAAAATACATGGAACGCTACCTGTAATAGAAAACCGTAGTAACTTTTTGAAGCCAAATTTTACACCCAGACACGCGGGTGTAGTTCAATCAATTTTCACTGCGCGAGAGAACTCAAAACACTAAACACGCGTGTGTCTGGATGTAAGATTTGGCTTCAATTATTTGCTTCATGTAGCGTTCCATGTATTTTAGTTCAATGATCCCCTCATATCTTCCTCTATTTCTTATTCACTTCTATCCACTTTCATTCTAGGGTCTCTACTTCATTCTCTATCCATTCTTATCCTCTTGCATTCCCTATTCACACACCGATTTCATTTTGTGTAAACGATTTGTACCAGTATGGAAGTTTTGAAACACTCGTTTGTGAAAGTTACCCACCTGTAAAGAATGCTTTTGCCTTTAAAACAAGAGGGAGTAGTTTTAAACTACGGGAAGGTCGTTTCCTTTACATAGAATAAAGTCCGTGTATAAGGTGTTGTATTTTCTCGTTATAAAATGAGACATCAGCTGAGGTTGTTTTGAAATTTGTGATGTTTCTTTATAGAAATCAGAATGGATGACAACAACTTGTAATCACGCTCAATCTGCTATCATCGATGTTTTTACTCAGTATTTTGATATTCTTGCTGAAATTTTTCTTGATAATATGTATGGCCATCTAAGTGGTGTCAAACAAGGTAAGCTTGAAATTACGCAACGTGTTTGTGCTTGGCATATGCCTTGGTGATTGGTTCGTTGTGTCAGAACCAATCACCAATTGTGCTTTGCTCGTTCATTCAATACATGTCCTGCCTTTCTCGTTCATTCAATATGTCCTGCTTTGCTCGTTCATTGGTGATGTCCTGCTTTGCTCGTTCATTCAATACATGTCTTTAGATAACGAGCAGTTAGCGTGGTCTGGTACCAATTGTTTGGAAAATCTCGTCATATCCATTGGCAACACGTTCTCCGAAGACGTCTGGGAAAAGACATGTCAATGTGTAAAGACGATATTTGAATCAACCGTACCTCACGAACTATTGAAATGGTGGAGTCCACCCACACCTGATGTCACTCCTCCGTCATCACCACTCAAGGTAAGTTACACTTAGGGCCTGATTATATGGAGGCGAGCTGCCCCGGATAGCGAGCTAGCCCCGATGATTTCAAGGGATTGAAAAGAGCCAAAACTTCAAGGTTAAAAATTACAAATGTTTGCGAAGCACCACACGTCATTCTGGTTGTAATTCTCAAATTATGGCAAGTTGGTTGTTTTAATTTTAAATGTTTTGCGTAGTTATTAAATCAGAATTTTGTGAAATTGCTTGAGAAAATTTATCTGATAATAAGTATTGAATCGTTTCTGTAAAATTTCACTGTAAATTTCAGACAAATTTTCATAACTATTCTGTTTGTTTTATGTATTTATTACCTTTAAAATTGACGTATATTGTAGATAATGTTACCTGTCGACCTGGCGCTGTTACAACAAATGGCTGTAGAAATTTCGAGGTCCGAATAATCAATAACCTTACCCTGTTTGCGCTAGAAGAAGGTTTTCGATTTCTTCAACGCGTTCCAGGCGCCTTTTCTAAAAACGCCATCACTCATTTTTGGCAATGGTAAAACGAACACGGTAGAAATGAAAAGAATGGCAAATGAAAAAAAAAGATTGGCCAATGAAAAAGAAAGATTGGCCAATGAAAAAGAAAGAATGGCCAATAATACAAATAGTACATTAATATAAATTTGCGACATAGCAATACTTGACATTACTCCTGTGTTATAAAACAAACCTTAATCATCGGAATATCGCTTCTTCTGGTCGTCAAAGGCATAAAATCGATTTCAGCATCAGACATAAACATACTAAACGTGTATGGTTGCTAGGCGAAATTGCCAATTGCATAATTAGTTTTAATTAATTAAGATTTTTGTCCCAAAAAAAAACGACAAAATCTACCAACGGTTGCAGTATAGTTCTTGACACAATACCTTAGTCTCACTAAGCACATCGTAGTTATTTATCTCGGTTGATTTTTCCTCGACTTTTTCAGATGGCGAAACATCATCAGACTCAATCGACGATAAACTCTGATGATGTTCCACAGAAGTAACATCCTCCGATGGCGCGACGGAACTTTCCGGGAAGTTGGGAGTTTTTTGAGAACATTTCTCAGGCGAGTTCATTTTTTTTGAAATACCAATGGACTTCCACAATAACTAATCCAAGGAATAAGCTTCTCAATTCAACTATGATGATGTTGTGCACTTTTAATCGTTGATAAAAAAGGGGGAAAAATGAAGCAACAGAACATGCAAATTCTTACTACAATTAGACTGCCCCACCGTCTTTATATGATTTCAAACTCAGAACGGGGGGGAATGTTTCAGTTCATTCCACCAGATCTGGGCAAAAACCTTGCATACTGCTGGGAAAAATCTTTCAATAGAAATTCAGGTGTAAAGTCAAGACCGCTGACAACAGTTTGCATCAGCCAATCATGAAGACTGCTGACAACCAGTTTGCATCAGCCAATCATGAAATGGGAAACTACTATCAAACATCTTTCTCGCAATTCAACATGATCGAATCCAGTTAATATTCGACAGATAATTCAAAGTTGTTACATAGCAGTATATTGCAGAAGATCCATTAAAGCAAATGCGGTATACATCTGGGGCCGGTGGCAGAAAGGCCGAATAGCGCTATTCACTGCATTGGAAATTTTTTTGAACGTTCAAAAAGTTACTCATAACAGAAAAATATAGCTACGATTTGAGCTGTTAAATCAATTAAACAAAATATTCTTTCAAAGATCACTAAATTTCGTTTTCGCAAGAAAAATATAAACACCTGGGGGGCGGTTGCACGAAGCCGCGATAGCGTTATCCATTGGATAGCAAAAATTTTGAAATTTTTAAAAAAGGTGTTTGTATTTTTCTTACGACAAAGAAATTTTGTAAACTTTGAAACAATATTTCATTTCAGTGATTGCTCAGATCGAATCTTATATTTTTTGCTTTTTAAAAGGTTTTATAAAAGTTTAAAAAAATCAAAATCCAATGGATAATGCTATCCAAGGCTCCGTGCGACCTGCATCAGTCATCAACAAAATTATTAAATTCCATACATCAAAAGTTGTTACGTACCTCAAATTGTTGAAGATTTAGAGATGTATTGTAGTTAGTTGTTTTCGCTAGGGTGTTGACGATACTTTTCTTCATTTTTCCAGCCATTCCCATGTCACCTGAGCCTGCTGTCCATTTTTTTCCACACTGCCGTGGCGAAATTTTCGAATCCACACTTAGACATCGACCAAACTCCATTTCATCTTTATTTTGCGATTGCTTATACAAGAAAAACACGAAAAAAATAGTAGAAAAATATCAATGGATTCGCCTGTGAGGGAATCGGGGGGTATCGTACTTCCCCTCGGTTATCCCGAAGATCAATTATGAGATTATCTAAAATGTGAAGAGACTTCAGGGGGGTTCGAAGTCGAGGTCGAAGCTCACAGCAATCAAAAGTATCGCTTGATAAAGAAGTACATAATCCACTCGATTCCCCACGCTCACTTTTCATCGATACTGATACATAAGTTAGCAATTACAAACCTGTTGCTAAGAAACGTAGGGTTACTGCCAAACGTTCACCTGCTGGAATAGAACGTCTCATGTTTGTATCTTTTTTTGTTATTAATGGCGTAATCAAGCTTTCTAGGACACCAAACGATTCCGGATCCATTCGTAGAAATTTTTTGTATCCATTCGAATCTGACAAGCGCAATTCTTTCACTAAATGCTGGTATGCCCCATACTGCTGTCTTTTTTTCATCCATTCTCTTATCCAAACAGTTCTTTTTTTCTGTCTTCTGCGTCGTTGTTTAATTGCTATGTATAAAACAATGGCAGCACAAGTAGCAGCGGTCAGGTCGTCTCCCGCCATATTTCAAAAACAAACAAAATGACTCCGCAAAGTTTCAGAAACATTTAGTTCGTTTGTCATGTTAAGTTTCTGAAAGTTTTGTATCGGAGACCATGTCTCGGAAACAAAAGTCTCGGAGACCACGTCGTGTGTCACAGGCTTTAGGCGCCATACCTGTATTGCTGTTATTACCGGCACAGTTGAATGTTGCTGCGTAGCTATTAGAGTTTACTTAGACCTTTAGAAAACAGCGAAGATGAAACATAACTTTTTATTATTTTCCTAAATACAAGCAAGTCAAAAAGAATCAATATTGTTGTTACCTACATAATTTATTGTTTTGAATTTTGAAAAAGGTTTTAAATCAAATTGCTCTCAATCGTTCGTTGGTAAAAACTCTATGCTCTCGCTTATTATAAAGTAACTGTATACGTCAGTGAGTACCCTACGTCAATTTTAGAATTACCAGTGATCTGGATCCCGATGTCCTTTGTTAACACCGTTCAGGGAGCCCCCTTGTAGCCTGATTGCTTGAATGTCCGTAGCTCTGACCATCTTGAGCCACTGACTGTGTTCATACAGTTACGCCACTATTCTGTGGTTATGCCGCTGGTTATGGTAATGATTGACAGGCTACTGGAAACAACATCAAATTTCGGGACGTGTTTTGCATTAGTTACTAGGCCTCAATCGGAATCAGCCCATTCCCTTTACTCCTCATCATTGTAGGCTTGGTTAGCACCCGTTTCACCAATTCTAAAACGCTTAAAGCGTTAGTTCTAATTTTTAGAAATGCGTTACGAAGCGTCAATAGAATGTATTCCGCGCATTCTACAAGATATGTTACACTAGGTTCCAGTTTCTTTAGATAATGTGTAGCTCTGTGCAGCTCCGTACATTTGGTTCAAAATGGCTACTCGCCCCTCAAAGCGATTCAAATCTTGCAAACTTCGCGTTCGATCTATCTCTACGAGTGGCAAAAAAATCACGAAGAATATTGCTCTGAAAGCTTCAAATCGTATTTCAAATGAATTAAAGTCAACAAATGTCCCTTCTAGTGCGATAGAACGACATAATTTGTATGAGTTTGATGAAGGTGAAGGTTACTGTGATGAAGAGCATGCTTATGCAACAAACTATCAGAACAGACGGGAAAAGGAATTTCAAGGCTGGCACACCATTCGAGAGTCTTTGTTAAACGGAAGAATTGAAGAAGAAGTTTTTCTTAACGAAGAAAAATGCTCTGAATGTGGTGTGATTGGGGTAGAATTTCGTTGTAACGAATGCGCACACGAAAAATATTTTTGCAAAGGTTGTGCTGACAGCACTCACGAAACAAGCAACTACTTCCATGTGCTTGAACGGTTTAAGGTATGGATGGAAAGAATAGAGATAAATTCAGTTATGATGACGTTTTGTGGTGTATAAGTTTGGTGATCAAACGTTGATTTCAATTCATGTCATCATGGTCATTGTATCATACATTTGTATAAACTGCTATTGAAACATAGCTTGCATTATGTTTTTAGGATGGGTATACATTACCTTACTTTCCCAATCATGGTATTCTTTCAGCAAGGCATCAGAAATCTTGCCATAGTGCTCAAGCAAGAAATGTCATTTGCATTGACCAATATGGTTTGTTTACTAGCTTAGATATAGTCACTTAATGATTGATAATTTATCAACCTTAGCATTTTGTTGATACATAAGGTCTTTGCATGCTCATTTTTTTAAATCAATATTTCTTCTTTAAATACTAGCTTCATGGTAAATTCTAAATTTTATTGCAAAGCTCATGTTTAATTACCACCTACCCTCTTTCTTTGTGATCTTTGTATGTTTCATTATGATGCTGATGATGATGATAACCAGAACTTGCAGTGTATTTTTTCAAATAGGCCGGCAACATCAGAAACAAATTCTGTTTTGTGAGTGTGAAAAAGATTCAATAACGTTAATAAGATTGAAACTTTGGCCTGGCAGTGCTACTCGTCCCTCTTTAGCTTTTCATTTTAAGATGATGGAGTTGGCTGAAACCTTACTTCTTGAATGTCATGTTTCACTTCGAAAATTCTGCGATGCTCTAAAAATATGGACAAAGTGCTCCTCTTTACCATTGTGGGTAAGTATTCATTTCAACTGTGTAAAAAGAAATACATGTGTACCTTCATTCTGTGTTGCCAACAAGGGGGTACTGTCCCCCTCCCAATATTTCTCCCACATTGGTCTTTATTTATAGAACTTGAAAAGGTGTGTGATATCAAACAGTGCATTGTAAGTTTAAGGGACATTTTAGGAGTGTTTCCCCATCTCTCCCTCCCCCCCAAAAAAATCCTGTTTGCACAGCTGCCCATGATATAGATACCCCAGAGCAGTGCAACAGCTTGTTAAAAGTTTGTAACAATTACTAGTTACCTGCCTAAAACATAGAAAAACTTGGTTTTCTTGAACTGTAACCTTAATCTTTCATAGAAAGGCACATTACAAAAGATTAAATATTTCACCCTGCTCCTGCTCTTGTTGTGCATGTGTATATTGTTGTAATTGTTTTATTTCATTATAGATTAAGAACATGTATTCAACACTGAACAGCAACTCATTTGATGAGTTTCGGTTTGTAATATAAATTAGTTTCATAAACTATAATTATTGTGTAAACTTAGATGAAAAGTACTGTAGAAAGACTGAGGGATGTGATCTTGAAGTCTCATGATTGCTCTGGTAATAGTGTATGATTGAATTTTTAGTGGTTTCTTTATTTGCAGGTATCATCGGCATTTGTTGAGAAATGGTTACCCGCTTGTAAAGCAACATGTCCCAGGGAGATATTTGTGCCCTCTTTGTCCCAAAGTACGAAATTTATAATTGTGCATCTCTTGCAATTCGTTCATAGCTAGCTTTCTTATTCTAAAAATTTAATAGACATTTGTTCTGCGGAGTTGTACACATTTAGCCATTAAACACAATATTTAAAAACAGTTATAGGGAAGTTGTTAATGTCTTCATTCTAAAAGCATCATTGTTATTCATTTCAGCCATTGATAGCCTGATGAAGCTGGTACTCTGATTGAATCAATGGATGCTTGTTTTGGTCTTGTGAGAAAAAACACCCGTTTCGCTCATTCTAAATGGGTATTACCCAGAGTTCTAAATTTTAGAATGCGGAAGATAGCCAATTTAGATTGCTTTCTGTGCCATCTGAAGGCTATGTTTGTCTCTCCTGACCTAAAATGTTTAGAAGATGGGATACCAGCAAAGAAAGCAGAATGGATTTTGCTGAAAAATTCTTGCTCGAGAGCCATGTATCCTTGCACAAATTTTGCAGCACTGTTGAAGTTGAATATCCTGAAATGCTACCTAGACTGGTATGTATTTCTCATAAACCTGAATTGTGCACCCATATGATAGTCTACCCATCAAATAGTGGAAATAGATGGGTTGTACTTTGCAAAAAAAATTTATTGAATCACTGTTATTTACAAACAACATAAATAATGTGTATTTGCCTCAAATAAGGTAAGAGCACATTCAAATTGTACATGAAGTTTCCTTTGCTGTTATAACTTTGTGTATTCAACCTTATTTTATTTTTGAAACAAATGCACAAGTTTACTAGGTGTTCATTTTATTCTTGTTAAGGTCAAAAACATCTATAATGTGTTAAACAATGGATCATTCGATGAATACAGGTATGTTATATGTTATAAAACAAAAGTCTATTTACATTTAATGTAGACCTAATAGTTAGATTATTTGTGTAGAGTAGTACAGTCTAACCTGTTTTAAGTACACACCATTGGACAACAGACTAGTGTCAGCTTAATGAAAGTGTCAGCTTGATTGAGGTTTCATCATGATACTTCCATTATTATTAGCTATATGAGATTAAGGTTTGGATTTTACACAGTATCTGCTTAGTACAGGGTCATTTAATACAAGAGGTTTGACTGTATATATTATATCATTTAAGAATTTGATTTTTTTGTCAGATATTTCAAACACCAAGTCAGATCATTAAAGTTCATACAGAAAGACCTGATTGATTATAGAAATTGCCCTCTTTGCCCACAAGTCAGTATTTGATTTCTTTTTTTCTGCTATTTGCTTTGTGAACTATTTTAAATTATATGTTTTTTGTCACATATATTATCAGAACATTTAAAGTTGTTGTGAAATATGAAGTGTTACATGTTTACCATAAAATTCGTTTCATTTTATTAAAGAGCTTTGTTTGCTTTAGACTGGTGAGTTAAGTGTGGCCATTCATTCCATGGATGCTTGCTTTGGTCTCTAAAAGTTGGCAGGGAATAGTTTTGCCGTCCCAAACCATGGCTGCCTTAAGTTTGCTGATCAGGATGAAGTAGATGATTTTGTTGATCATTATAGCAAGTCTAATAACAAAGTAGGAGAGGTAATTATTGCATGATGAAGGACTTTGAAGCCTTTTCAAAAGTATTCTGTGAAGGGGAGGGAGTGAATAGTTTGAAAACAAACTTTATATGTAGTCCAATGAAAAGCAATGGCAAAGCCAGCACTTTTTTACTTTTACATTGCAAATATTTTTGTATTAAATCACTGGAAAAACAATGAATGGATTTGATTTTCTAAAGAAATTATTAACAATTTTGCTGACAAATTTGCATTGTAAGAGTAAAGATTGGGCAGGGCCCTGAGAAAAGTAGGTCTATGCTTCATGCAGGTCCATGGGCCCTCATACATACGTAAGTAGCTACGTGGATTTAAAATCAAAATTACAAACAGCCAATTGTTTTCTTTTCCTTTAATTTATCATGTCTATGCATGGTCTATGACTTGATTGTGTAAACTGTCATGTATTTTTTTATAGTAATAAAACAATTGTTATGTATGTGCTAATCTATAATGTTCTCCAACTTATTTTAGAGTTGTCAGATATTTAAGGCAGGAGAAGTTACAGAAGCACTTCACTCCAAAGGAAAAATCAACTGTTTGATGAAAAGGAGTGTTTGGTAGTTGTTGCAGTCGGCATTCACACCCTGGACGATTTTTCAGCACTAAATATGGGGAAAGGTTAGTGTCTTAGCCTTGGTTTGCACGTAATTATCAATATTGTTGATCTTTGATGAGGTTGTATGGAGAACAAATCGTCGGGTTATAATTTCTTTTCCTGTGTCAATTTTGAAATAAAGGGACAAAGGACAAAACGATTCTGTGCTAACGAGATCTATTATTACCCTTTAATAATATTTAGTGTCTTATTATTAATATTCAGAATTTCGTATTCGCTGTTCCTAATCCAAAGCATTTTAAAAGATGCTGACCAAAGTCCTGGTGTTGATTTAAAAATAATGTATGATATTGGATGTGTATTATCATCACATTTAAAGGTATTTTAATGTTGGCATGTATGATGTGGGACAAGTTCATTCACCAACTAAACTTTGAATAAATTGGTACCGTTCTAGGCAAACAAGAGGCATGACATTTTGTCAAAAGTGTCAATTTCGGTGCCGATATTTCATTGTTATGGACACAAGGCTTCATGCCAGGTAATGAATAAAGCTTTGTACCTGGTAATGACAAGGATGGATTAAGAGGCGGGATAGCGGAGGAATGTGCTCTCCTCCAACCTTGATTAGTGGAGATGGATGAGGAGTGGCATTTTCCCTAAGAAATTTATGTATATGAAACCATCAAGCGATCGTAATTGGGGTTTATGGAGCACAATTTCAAAAATCTCCAATCATTTTATATAAGTAACAAAATTTAACGAAAAATGTCTTGCATGTTACGGCAACAAGCAGCCACTAGAATCTTATCCAAACTAGAGCACCCCCTCCCTCCAGAAAAGTACATCCCTGGGTAATGATGTAGCGATTGAAGAAAGACAATCTTTTCTGCTCTGGTTTCTTCCTTGATAAAAAGCCCCCGTAGGTAAAATATTATTTTTTAATGTCTTCAAAAAAACAGGTCAAGTTCAGTCCTAGAAGGCTCGATGGTTTTGGTCTTACAGATGGTGAGGCTATTGAAAGGCTCTGGGCTTACCTTCGTGGGTTCTCAGCTATCACTAAGAAGATGTCTGCCAGTAGAAGAGTAGATCTTTTGACAGACGCTCTTCTTCACTTATCTCGAAGAAATTTTAGCAATGCAGGTGCTTGAATATTGTCATTGCTTTATGCGTTGACACAATGAAAATGTTTTTATTTGTTTGTTGCCCCTTAATTGTTTTAATTTTTTGTATATGATTTGTTTCAGGAAAATCGTTAACGTCGAAGCTTAAAAAATGTCTACAACTTAAAATTAAAACGCAACAAGAAATGAAGGATTTATTTAGCGAACTACCTGGTAAGTAGTTCTGGTAGGTTAGAAATTTCTTATGTTTTCTGTGGCCGAAAAGTATTTAAGATTTCTTTTTGCCTAACCAAACTCTCAATTCAATTTGCATCCAAGGAAATACGAATTTATTTTGTTTGTTAGTGACGTACGATCCTGAAATTGTTTGTCAGTGGGAGGCCAGAGAGAAGGAAATTATGTCAAGAGTCTACCCAGGTATATAATGTTATTCATGGCAAATAGTTTCATTCTTAACAATTCAGTCTGTAGGATATAAAGACATACTTTTAAATACAGAACATAAAGAAATCACGGAGAACTGGAAAGTGACGTACGTTCAAAAGCTACTGCATTTTAAACAACTAAGGTAGGTTTTTTAATGTACTAAACTGGCTGTTTCTCTATAATACATGCCTATAGACGTTTTAATATTTCTTTTGAGCCTAATTGGTGAATTATTAAATTCTTAGTGCTACATCATTCGGATGTTTTGAAGAAAACCAGGAGATAACCTCTGAAGATTACTCAATTCATCAGATGTCGAAAAAACTATACAGTATGTATAAATGTGTCAAAGCAATATTTTGCTTTAAAGTTTTTTTTACAAACGCGCAAAATTTATGTAAACAGGTTTCGAAAGATTTTAAAAGATATTGAACGAAAGCATTCTGTAAAAGAAAGATGGAAACCTGGTCATCCTAATTTTGACGTCGTTGCATTGCAAGTCATACAAAGAAAACGAAAAGATACTATCGGAGCTTTACATGGACTTTCCATAGAAAGGCATTTCTTAATAACATTGAAAAAGAAGTATGCAGGTACTGTAATGCACTGCAAATTTCGAATACTTGTAACCTAAGCTATGTTACCATATCTGTCTTTTGTTGTTCTTGTAAATGTTAATCTTGTATTCCTTTTACTTGTTTAGATGGTCAGAAAATTGCCACTCGCTTGTCCAGGCAAATCACCAAGATCACGAACAAGATGAAATTAACAATTGAGAAACACAATGCTGCCATTGATTCTCTTCGTGATTTTATAAACAGTTTACCCGATCGTCTGACATTTGACAAAGCGAAAGATCCTACATCAGACCTTTATGAGGGATTTGAGTCTGGTGAGGATGATATTCTAGGGGAAGCCTCGGTCCCAGTATACTCAAAGAGGAAGGCTATTGAAATGTACTTAATCCTAAAACGATGTGACGAGAAAGAGAAACTTTTAAACTTGGAAAGAGAAAGGCTTCTATTGTATTACACCAATCTTATCTCAAAAATTGATGAAGCGCTTGCTGATCTTAGTGATTTGAGCAGCGATGAATTCATGCTTGGTTCAAAGCATGAACTGATAAGATTTAAAACCAAATTGCGGAATGAGTTGTTCAGCTTGAAGAAAAGTTTTGAGCTTCCACTTGGAGAAACTTTTCTTCTCCAGGCTGAGATTGTTAACTTAACCAATGATGTTAACATTCCCAATGAATCTGAAAGCTCGCCGTATGAGGAATCCGATACTGAAGATGAAAACATCGAAGAGCTCTCAGAAGTGGACAGTAACATTGAATAGACGACATAGCTACTATTCGTAAACTAATAGCTACTTTCTATGTACTTATTATATAATGTAGTTGTTCACGTATCGAGTATAACTGATATCACGCAAACATTTGTGGTTTTGGGACGTCATGTTAGTGCACAGTTATTTTCTCTTCTTCTGTACAACACCGGAAGTTTTAACCTGTCGTTGAATTGTGAGAGAACTATGTTCTTTATTATTTATCAATGTCTTACGTGTAAGAGTTTATATGCGACATATATCCCAACCAATTAGCTCTGTCTACCCAACCCAATTCATCTAAAATTGTGAGCATTCATATCATATATAAAATAGCCGAGACGTATCCAAAGCTTTGTCAGTTGATCAACGGGGTCTGGGGCGAGTTTTTGAAAACACCGAATTTCATGATTTGTCCGTCTAAATCATCCAATTTGTCTTTTAACGTTACAAGCCTTCCCATGTTTCATATTTTGCTCGAGATTAACTCCAAACAGATGACTAACTTTACCGATGCTCAAGCTAACGAAACGATGCTGACGAGAGAGTGCGGTCTGTTTCGGCACCCTTGATGGCACTGCCGCTGTAAGAGGTAAATGAGAAATGAATCCGAATACGTGTTTGGATTGAAATAATATAAAACTCAAAATTATTAATCTGCGTTACTGAGCACTGTTGCCATTTCACAGAACACGTAGCCATTTTACAGATCGAACACTCTTGTCATGTTGCACGCCTACCGTAATCATTGCACGTATTACGTATCACGCATTCTTGCCGTGAGCTTCAAATATTCTCTACGCAATACCAACCCTCTCTACAATCACATTCTAAAGTAACATTCTGATGTTAAGAAAAGAACGTGATCGGTTTTTTGGGGGTTGTTTTTATTATAAGATGCTACATACTCTGCTACTAATAAGGTCCATGCTATAAGGGTCGTACTAACTAAAAAAATCAATCTTTTATTTGAAACATAATTTGTTAAAAAATTTAAAGCCACAACTGTCAACTATTTGCTGTAACAAAACATTGCTACTGGTTACTGCATACTTTTGTGTAACAATCACATATGCTCGATGATATTGGATTATGCGGTGCTGTTTATTTCACAAAAGCACCGTAAAGTGAAAATGTCGACGCAGCGGAATTCGAATTTCGAAATGTTAAAAGTGGAATTCATTTATGATATATATGTTGCTTTATTTTGAGTGTTCGTTGGTACCGTAAATGAATTTATCAACGGCCAGGGCGTTTAATCAATTCTAGATGTTGTGGTGCAGCGAAATGAAAAGAGAGACGTGTATATTAGTTGTTTGTGTGAACAAATAAAACAAAACTAAGACAAACTAAACTTCTTATAAGCCAAATTGTGAACCCACTATAATTAATATATTATAAAGGTAATGTTGTGAAGGTGGTGGGTGTCTATCGAAGACGGAATTTATTAGTAAGTAGCGTTGCAAGGAGGGGGGGCGTTTAATATGTATAAGGTGTTAATTTAATATAGGGCATTTATTAGATCGTTTACGTCACATATGCCCATATATCATCTGAGAAATACAATTTGCCTTATGCAAACCAATGAGACCTTTGGGAAAACTTGAGAGCAGATCAGTGCAAGCAGGAGACCGAAGGTCTTGGGTTGCACGATTGCATCTGCTCGAGTTCCCACAAACGGCTTTAAGGTTTGCATAAGCCAGTGCAATGGTGCAAACACGAAAAACAGTTTTTACCTCTTGTATACAATGATACAAAACAATAATTCGAAACAGATAAATTTACATCGATATGCAAATTTTTTTTGGTTAATAGATTGATTTGATTGGTTGAGTTGAAGTCGGTTTGCACAGGTTAATGCACACACGGCTATAGACCAATCACCGAGCGGGTACTATTGTTTTTATTTTATATATGGACAATAGACATTACTCACATATGTTGCATACTCTTAAAAACTGTACTGCCTGTCCATATTAAAGCCCATTTATGTCATTTGAGTTGAAGCAATGCCGAAAAAAGATGCATCAAGAAGAAAACATAAACCGTCTCACTTTCGAGAAGCTCGTGCAAATTGGTGAGAATGTCTCCACTTGTGGTGTTTTTTGTCAACCGGTGATCCGTGAACGCAGTCGCTTGTGTCCTTAATCGTTATATATGACTTTATTATAGGTTGTCAACTCTGTTTCATCAAGATTCCTTATGTCGCGTAAAATGCTCAGATGTTCTAAAAGTGTTGAGAAATAAATATAAGAGTATATCTGTTCGAGTGTGGGTTCATTGTACGAAAGTGTTTTCCTACGGTGAAGCGAATTCATAGCAATCATGTCTACTTTTATTCTGGCATTAGCCACATCGACGCCATTGAAAATGTTAACCAATGTCATACGGAAAATGGTATGGTTTAAAATAGCTAGCGCAGTCCCTAATTAACATAAATTTCAGAGGCACACGATAAGAATAATTTGAGGAAGGGCTTAATTTTTGTGTTAATTGTATATAATATTGAGAACCTTTTTTGGTGGGGAATGATTTTCCATCTTGAGAAGAACTACCTTGGACATGGAGCAAACTTTATTTTCTTGTCTCATTTCATAGATTGCTCAACTGAGAATAAAATGCTATGTGGATTACCTGATTGCATGAGTATCAATCGGTCGGAATTGCTACGTTCCTCATCAAAGAAGCCTACATATTCATTCCCAAATGGGAATTTTGATAGCATGGAGTTATGTTGGTTTAGAGGAATGGCAGTTGCAGTGAGGAAATCTGAGTTTGATGTCATTGATGAAGCAAGAACTATTCTTAGCTTACCATCTCATCCATGTTTTCCAATCTTAATTGGTATTTGTCGGGATGAAAAGCCATTCATTTTAATAACAAAATTTTATGGTCATGTAGGAACTGGAGTGTACATGTCCTTGGAAGGATTGTGCTATACTCATGGAATCACTTTTGCCGAGTGGATATCTTTATTAATTAAGATATGGGAAGGCATAGAGTTGTTGCATTCTTGTGGATTTGCTCATGGAGGTCTTGGAGTTCAAAACATTATTGTTGTGAAACAAAAGAAAAGAAAAAGTTTGGGTGCCAGTATTTCTGAATCTTAATGAAGTCAAAGCTTTATGTGGAAGTATTGACAACAACTTAAGTCAACAAGACTGCTTAGACTTTGGCATCTTGCTACATAAAGTAACTACTCTCCTGCAATAAAAGAAACATATGCATTACGCCAGCAAGAGAAATTAACTCAATTGTCCAAAGCTATTTCTTCTGGTTGCAATGCATTGTCAATAGCAAGACGTTTAAAACATATTGCACAAACATAAATATTTTTTTACTGATGCATAAGTATCTCAATTATTACAGTTATTTTTACAAATATGATATCTTATTTGCCCATCCATTGAATTGTGCATGTCTTTGTGTAGGTGAAAGGTAGAACACCCCCCCTCAAAAAAAATTATAATGTAGTTTTTACTTTTGGGCTTTAATCTTCGAAATTTTAATTATAGAATTAGACATTCTGCATGGCTTATATGTGAATAGTAGAATATTACCTTTTAAAAAAACATGTTCAATCCAACTAAAACTGGCTTATTTACAATCCAACTAAAACTGAAAAGTGAGTTGATTACAATGCACATATTGCAGTGCTACCTGCTACCATTGTAAACAATTTCATTGCTGTGAAATTGAAAACTATATGTATCCCTGTTTTGATAAAATTTGAGTAACTTTCCTTTCAAAGGACTTGTTCAATATGAAGGTTTGGGTATAATCAGTAAACCTATGAGTCTCAAAAATTACATTGCCATTGTCCTTAATAATATTTTTTCCAAAGATTGTTTCCTTTTTTTTAATAAGGTGGAAGGTATTGCCTGACTCATGATTTAGCCAACATCCTGTCAATTTACCTCTTGCGCTTATCTGGTGCAGAGCTTGTAGAGATCCGTAAATGAAAAAGCCAGAACTGACTTTCCTCATCATCACAGTACACAGGCAAAACGAAATGATTTGCCTGAGACACATATGCATTCAATTTTTTTTTTAACTCTGTCAAAGCTTCTGGACATAACACTTTCCAGTGTGTTGATATTATTTCTTTGATTTCAGAAATGCTATGTGTCTCATTAATATCCAATACCTCCACATCTTCTTTTGATACTTTAAAGTCACATTTTCCGAATACATTACTAAGCAATTCCTTGCAGTCTTCACCAAAATCTTGCAAAGGTGCACCTTCTGACGTTTCAAGAATGAAGGAAATACTGTCCTGGCAGTCCATGATTTTTGTATTTCCTTTGAGCCATATTGTCGTGGCTTCTTTAGGCGAATGTTATCTGGTAGTCCTTCAACATGAAAACCACCAGAAAGATATGGAGCGAGAACCAGTCACACCTTTTGCTTCACCTTTAAGAAAAATGCTCACTGACAAGAACTAACAGACATAATGACTTAACAACATGACTGTAAAAGGGTAATTTTACAAAATTACTCACAGGAAAAAATTTTGTATCTTCCATATACTTTTTATTAAAAAACAGAGAAGATTTCTTTATGCAGGTGTATCAAACGGTAAAATTAAACTATAACTGTAAGGTAAACACTACCATTCAGGAATATACAGGCAACCTTTGTACATAACTGTTATTAACAACATTATACTGTTTTCAAAAGTATTTAATGAAAAGTTTATTCAAAAAAGATTTTTTTTAAACTTGCAGCCATAGAGTGAAATACTTTATCCAGGCCTGTGGTGGTTAAAATTACACCTGTATGATCACGTCACTCTCAATGGTGAAGACCTGCATACAAGAATAAATAAAAAATTAACTTACTATACTTCTTGTTAAAGAGCATTCTTACATCCTCATGAGTCCATTTCTGTTTTTCTCGGTCTACATCTACCAAATATAGCATACAAATTTTTTTTTTAGCTATACAAACTACAAAGGGAGGAGAGGATTATTCATATATCCAGCTGAGCCCAAGTGATTACTTTTGAAAGCAATTTACTTTCAAAAGAAATCCGAAGGGCACAACTGAATAAACATTCCTGGAACAGCACTAATGCTTGAGAAATAATGCACTGGTATTCCAAGACCCACAAGTTTCTGAAAATAACTGTGTAGGTACAGCACTTACCCAAATACTCAACGAAATTGACACCAATTTTTCATTTTATTCAAAAGTTGATTCCTTTTCTGTTCCAAACTGTTGAAGACAAGAATCACCAGGCTCCAAGAATAAAACAACTGCTTCACAACCAAGACTTTCTAAGTAAGTAAGCTAGCAAAGAGAAATTTAATTGAATTTACACAGCATAAGTTTTCAGCAAATTTTTTCTCTAAGTAAACAAAAAGTATAAAAATCAACACATCTACAATGTGTTAGATTAAACACTTATCATAATTGCTTTGGGCTTATTTTATGATACGTATACTATTATTTTGTGGGGAAATTAGAGCCCCTCGCACACCCTAATCTATCTAAAGCTATGGGGATTGCAAAAATTTCTTACAAAATACTCCCCCTTCACATCCATGACACAGGTCTATCAATGCTAATATTTTTCACAGTAAAATTGCAAACGTTACAAAATGCTAACTTTGTGGATCTGTAACCCAGTAGACTTGGCTAAATTTCAGCATTTATTTGCTACTTCTAACAATTCATAACAACTTTTACAAATTTTTTTGTAGTAGAAGTTTTCTTTAGGTAAATTGTCTTTCCTTTAGAATGGATTGAAATTTACAAACCATCACGTTATGTTTATAGAGATGCTCAACTAAATCTACGCACAAACAATCAAAGTAAAAATCATTCTCTTATATCATAATACTGTACATATGTACAGTGGGTAATAACAGCTGTACCTGTGACAAAAGCTGCTTTTTCCCTTTTTTCACTTGGTTTGTGCGCTGCTTAACTGTCAGGTCATGAATGTCATTGCTTTGAACAGCCTTTGCTCTTTCTGCCCAAATCACACGTTCCTCTGCCCCTAACAAGTTCCAGTGGTCTACAGCTAACTTCAACTTCTCAGAATTAGAGCTCAGCAGCTTGCATTCCTCTAAAATTACAAAATGCATATTTACAAAAGGCATATAACAACAGAAAGAAACAAAGTACTCTTTTGGGTTTAAATGACGACTGCACAGGTTTTGTCTTAGCACTTTTGGTGGAATAAAGATGATACATATTGTACAGGCCATAAAAAACATACAGTTTATAGATCAGAACCTGAGTTCAGCATATGCGAGCAAAAAAGATTATATGCTGTAGTTCTACGCTTTGAAGGGCACAGTCTTAACTCCTCATCTTGATGAGAGCTGGCTTCTTTTTCTGGACTGCTTTTCATTCCCAATCCATTTCTAGAAGAAATAAAAATAAAACTTTTCTTTTTCTTGTAGCTAACCTGGTTAACCAAGGTTATTTACTACATGGTGTATGAACAAATAGAGTACTAACATGAAGCCTTCAAGTTATTTGAAGAATAGGATATGCTAACTTAGTCTAAACAACAAAAAATTATTATGTTAAAAAATATAAATGCTTCTTTGCAAACCAAACAATCAAACAATTTCATTAGAAAATTCTGCAATAAGCATGAGCTTATTTCACCAGTAACAGAATTCATTAAGTATGTAACTACGAACCACCATCTATATGAAACTTCTTTCTCAAATTATTCGTAAATTAGGAGAGCCAAAAAAGTAAAAAATGTGACTTATTCCTGAACAAGATAAAAATGTTTAGGGACTATTAACCTAATTAATAAAAAATTTGTTAAGTTATATTAATTTAGGTTTTGCCTTGATCACCTTCAATGGTATGCACCCAATGCAATTAAACCTTCAAAGCAATTATATACATTATAATGGGGTGACTAGCAGAGAGTAGAAATTAGAAAAACATCTCTAGCATTTACAATTTAAGGTAGATTCAACATTATTGAGTCTCCATAAACTGCAACGATTCTGTCATTTGCAAACTTTCAAAAACATGCAATGAATACAGCATAGTCTGCTCAGTTATTTATTCATGCAATGTAAAATTTCACTTGCTGTGAAAACTATGGATTTCTAAAAAACAATTAATTAATGGAAAAATTCTCAAATTTACCTACATTTCAGGATTATTATTTGCAAAATGATAAGGTCCCTGTTTGTTATAGCATGAATCCCAAGCAAGTCTTTCATGGAAAAGGGAAACACCAGTGGGCATTAAAAATGTGTTATAGAGAAAATGCGCATTTAATAATTTAATTTTTGGAAAACCATTGTCGAGGGAAAATCGATAATGTTACATTTGTGATAATGTTACAGAATGCCTGCCCTTAAGTTTCAACAAACTCAGAATACTACGAAAAATTTGTGATCAACAGTCTTTAAGGCATACTCAAAAATAGAAAAATTACCAAGTTTTCCCACCCCTTTTTAAGATGTACTACCTGTGGCACCTCTATACTATGAAATGAATATTATGAAATGAGTATATGTATGTAAATACTATAATCTTATTACTTTTATAAAGTAGAAATTGCATTATTGAAGAAAACTAGAGTTCGATTTAATGCAAAAAGATATAGTAACCAGTGGTACATACATATTACATCTGACAACAGAGAAAGATAAAAAGCTCGAGAGGGTTGAATACAAATAAAAACAAGCTTGTTTTTTATAGTACATAGTAAAACAAGTGTGAGTATAAAATATAATAATTATACGCTTAATAGGCCAAGTTAAAATTTTAACAGTAGAATAAATTTTACAAACATCGTCAGCAAACGTTGCAATTTTCAATTGTCAAGCAATACTAAATATAAACACACTGGTATTGTGGTACAGTCAAAAAATAAACCATGCTCTCCCCAATAAAGGGAAAATCCTAAGTATATCTGTTTATATATTTCTGACATCTTGTAAACTGTCTATTATATAAGTTAAGGGTATAATTAGAAGATATAAAATGCACGCTATATTTAATGTCAGTTACAGAAACAATAACTAAACCCATCAGATCAAAAAATACTGGCGAAGATCACTCGTTGCTAATGAAAAAGAAAGCGCGGGTAAAAAATATAAACTCGTGCATTCTGTTTACCTTGACTCTTTCAAACGTGATATTAGCTTGGTTCGCAGCTTCTTGGATGACATCCCTCATACAAGCAGCTGTTGAAATCATTCCTCGATCATAATAATCCTTCAAGATCTTTTTTTGTTCGTCATTTAAAATATCATAAGAAGCTGAACGTCGAACGTTTTCCGCCATAGCCAGATCACAGAACAGGAAAATAAAGTTGACTAAATAAAGTATTTCATAAATTCGTGAATCCCATACATCAGAATGCGCGGAATACATTCTATTGACGCTTCGTAACGCATTTCTAAAAATTAGAACTAACGCTTTAAGCGTTTTAGAATTGGTGAAACGGGTGTTAAAAGCTGTCGTTTATGTCAAATTATTAACCATCTACTTTTGTCTTCTTTTATTTGTAGAAAATGGATACCAGTAAGTGAATTGTGTGTTTTAATTGTGTTTGTATAATTTGTAATGGTGATAGTGTTTTTGTCGCATGTATCAGTTATAAGGGGAAATATCGAACACGACGGGCCATTTGGCGCCGTGGTGAAAATAACGTAAAATAATGTGAGAAGGTCGTGTATAATTAAGTTCACAACGTCTCATTGTTCGTGCTGTGAAGAACTTTGAGTAACTGTTTTTGTTGCTATTTAAGTTTTTCTCGGATTTCGTCCATATTATGTTCAAAATTTAATCATGTTTTTTAATGTTGCAGTGGTGAAAATGGTGTTGAACCTGTAGCTGGAGCTAATAATGCACAACCCAATCATCATTATGAAGAGGTTGTTGGAGAACTTAGAGAAAATGCCTATAAATCAGTTGTTAATGAATATGAAACAGTAAATAATCCATTAACAAGTGATGAAAGTAAACCATCAACAAGTAAAGCACCACTACATGTTTATGACTCGATCGATAGAGAAAATAGAGAAGGAAATCCGGTTTGTTGTGGATATTTGTCATTTATTATTTATAAATAGGATTTGTGCATTTATTTTGTTTTTGTTGGATTGTGGTGATGATTTTGAATGCATCATGGAGATTATGCGGGGTGTTTAAAAAAAACTGCTCATATTTGAAAACACCCGCGACATTTGGAATTTATACTATTCAGCAATACATGATCCCCAAATACCTGTAAACGCAATTGAAAACAATACGTACGAATTGCTTAATTGAAACTTGATTTTATATCAGGCGATTCTCTCTAATAAACGCTTTGACTCCAATAGTCGCACCCCACACGTTGCCATTGTTAACAGTGGGTTATCGATTGCGCTAAGAAACCGTATATTTAGTCTTGACTTTGTTTTTATTTTCTCACAATATGGTGATAGAGAATGATGTAAACGTCTTTCTATTTAACTCCTTGTGTCAATTGAAGGCCCCCTCCCCTTTCTAGGCTGCTATTTCATTTATTTAACGTCCTGTGTTTATTAGGTCATTTACGATGTATAAAAAACCTATGTATATTTTATCATCTTATGTATATATGATAAAATATATCGTTAAACATTTAAAGTTTCTCCGGATTTTTATGTATAATTATATTGAGCTTTCGACTCGATGCTTCCTGTCTTCTTCAGAATTTATGAAGGTATTAGCTATTTACAATCCGGCGAAACTTTCAATTTTGAACAAGAATTATGTCTAGATTACAAATTTTAAAGCTGATAAAATATACATATACAATGACAATATATACGTATGTTTTTATTTAGTTACACTCCTCTGTTGAGTCAGACAAAAATCGTCCTGCACTAATTGCATATGCCATTACTCCAATGAGTAAACTGGCACCTGTCGAGAAAAAAGACAAGAAATGCGATGACAAAAAAGGAGATGAAAAGATGGAATAGTAAGTTTTATCTTTTGGAAAAGATCCACAAAGCTCGACGTCATTAGTTGATGGTTGAAGAAAAAAGTAAAAATAGATTCATCCGTGGTGAAAATAACGTAAAATAATGTGAGAAGGTCGTGTATAATTAAGTTCACGTCATTTTTACGACATTTTCACAACGTCTCATTGTTCGTGCTGTGAAGAACTTTGAGTAACTGTTTTTGTTGCTATTTAAGTTTTTCTCGGATTTCGTCCATATCATGTTCAAAATTTAATCATGTTTTTTAATGTTGCAGTGGTGAAAATGGTGTTGAACCTTTAGCTGGAGCTAATAATGCACAACCCAATCATTATGAAGAGGTTGGAGAACTTAGAGAAAATGCCTATAAATCAGTTGGTAATGAATATGATACAGTAAATAATCCATCAACAAGTGATGAAAGTAAACCACCAACAAGTAAAGCACCACCACATGTGTATGCCTCGATCAATAGAGAAAATAGAGAAGGAAATCCGGTTTGTTGTGGATATTTGTCATTTATTATTTATAAATAGGATTTGTGCATTTATTTTGTTTTTGTTGGATTGTGGTGATGATTTTGAATGCATCATGGAGATTATGCTGGGTGTTTAAAAAAAACTGCTCATATTTGAAAACACCCGCGACATTTGGAATTTATACTATTCAGCAATACATGATCACCAAATACCTGTAAACGCAATTGAAAACAATACGTACGAATTGTTTTCCATTGAAACTTGATTTTATATCAGACGATTCTCTCTAATGAACGCTTTGACTCCAATAGTCGCACCCCACACGTTGCTATTGTTAACAGTGGGTTATCGATTGCGATAAGAAACCGTATATTTAGTCTTGACTTTGTTTTTATTTTCTCACAATATGGTGATAGAGAATGATGTAAACGTCTTTTTATTTAACTCCTTGTGACAATTCAAGGCCCCCCTCCCCTTTTTCCCCTTTCTAGGCTGCTATTGCATTTATTTAACGTCCTGTGTTTATTAGGTCATTTACGATGTATAAAAAACCTATAAATATTTTATCATCTTATGTATATATGATAAAATATATCGTTAAACATTAAAAGTTTCTCCGGATTTTAATATATAATTATATTGAGCTTTCGACTCGATGCTTCCTGCCTTCTTCAGAATTTATGAAGTTATTAGCTTATTACAATCCGGCGAAACTTTCAATTTTGAACAAGAATTATGTCTAGATTACAAATTTTGAAGCTGATAAAATATACATATACAATGACAATATATACGTATGTTTTTATTTAGTTACACTCCTCTGTTGAGTCAGACAATAATCGTCCTGCACCAATTGCATATGCCATTACTCCAATGAGTAAACTGGCACCTGTCGAGAAAAAAGACGACAAGAAATGCGATGACAAAAAAGGAGATGAAAAGATGGAATAGTAAGTTTTATCTTTTGGAAAAGATCCACAAAGCTCGACGTCATTAGTTGATGGTTGAAGAAAAAAGTAAAAATAGATTCATTTGTTGAATATTTTTTTAAAAAATGCCGAAAACATGTTTTTCTTTCTCTTATTATGGTAGTTTAATTCTTATTATAAATTTCCTTTAGAACTGGCGATCGTCGTTAATAAAACAAGAGTACGTAAAGATTGTTACTACATTTATAATGTTTTATTTTGTTCTTCATTATATAATCTAGATTTGATCTCTAAACAGTATTAAACCGAATACTTTATGATTGTGTCTGTGTACGTAATCTTTTGCCATGAACAAACTTGAATCTTGGCATCTATGCCACAGTTTGTGAATGTATTTTACTTGCCTTTATAAGGCAACAACATTACACACTGACTTTAACACAGCATTTTGAATAGAATAGTTTTAATCGTACTTTTACTTTTATTATTTTAATTATCATGGTTAAACCATTTAAACTTTTATTTACATAGAATTTAAGTGTAGAAATAAGATAGAAAAATCAAGCAATGTCAAGGAGTGTGATGGCAAACTCTTTAAATTGCTTCTTTACGATTGAATGATTTCATATGCATTAGTGTAAGGGATGTTTACGAATAAAACAATTTCATGATCATTATTATTTTGCTTCTTTATTTTCGTGTCTACTGTAGATGTGAGATTTTACCTACCCCAAAGACAAGCTAACATTGAGTGGCTTTGTTTCAGCAAGCTTATGGTAATAGAAATTTTTAATTTAAAATTTCTAGGAAGACAGCAAACTGCAATTTAAAACAATTTAGTGAAGAAAATGTAACTAAATTTTAATGTGTGAGTCACTGCACAATGGATAGTGCTGTCCTTGCTTCGTCTAATGGTAGTTTTCAGCGAGCAAACATCTCAATTATGCTCATCAGTGGACAATATTCATTAATCTTTAATGATAATCAATGACAGATTAGCAGGATAGCCTAAGGTAGAAGATAGCCTAAATATATATATACCGCAGAATGCAGATTTTCAATTATTTCTTACACTGAAATGATTCGTAAAATTCAAATGTCTTACTTGGTAGTGAATACGCTTTATTTTAAACCGGATTTGCAATTCTAAGGTAATGGTAAAGCAATGTAAATACAACGATTAAAAGAAATTATAGAACATTACTTTTGTACTTTTAATTTCTGAATTTGTTTTCGTGACTTGTTGGGTTTAGTGTTCTGGTAAGAATTTTTATTATTAAATAAAATACCAACAATTGATCAAGGTCACTTTTTGTCAATACGTTTTATTAGAAAGAAAAGTCTATATCATTAAAAAAAGGAAAATTTGTGCAAAGATTTTACTAGGTTTTCATGCAAGACACGGACAATTTTTGCACAATTATGCCCACTAATCTTAATCATACGTTTTCTTGTGATGATTTGGTTTTCATAGAATTACTCTATCATTCTATAGCAACATATGATGTAAAGAAACCTATAAATAACTTGACTGTAAACTGCTCCGATACAATTGTAGCTATTGTTGAGGTAAGAACATATAAAGCATATTTTATAGAAACTCTTTGTCATATACTTTCTGGTCGGTACTTACTTAGAATCAAGGATTCGAAGATGCCAATTTCGAAAGTATTTGTCGTCTATGAAATCGGTCGCATAAAATGTGAAGAAGGAGATGATGATGATGATGATGATGATGATGATGATGATGATGATGATGATGATGATGATGATGATGGTGTTAATGATGATGAAAATGATGATGATGACGATGATGATGATGAATTGGTAAGTTTATTACTTTGTACTCTGCAACCAATCTCTAGTTAAAAAATGACATCACCATATCATTTTAGCAGAGTGAAGATGAAGTTGATGATTTGGCTGACTTTATTGTTGATGACGACGACACTGTAATACTAAGAGACCTGGGTGACGTATCAAGACAGAATAATAATAGTGAGAATGATAACAGATTACTTGATTCATATGATGAAAATAATACTATTAATAGTCATATAGATGATGATTTGGGTGACATCATTAATGGTGACATAAGCAGCAGTGAGGACAATGACGTGATGGGTCAACAACAGTGACAGTGAACTTGATGCCAGTATGAGATTTTTTCTTGCTCATTCCAGTGATTCTACTGATTTGTCGTCCTCTGAAATGTCTGATTAAATGATGTTTTTGAAGTACATTTTCACTAACACTGTATTTATACACTAATTTCAAGATTCTTAGATACTTGAATTAGTTTATATTGTTTAATTTCATGTTCACTTTAAGAAGTGTTACTTAGTATGCTAACATAAAGTGGATCAAGATATGTTTGTCCACCGTCTTATTTTACTGAAAAATGTACAGTAATCAAAACTAATTTCAACATGACAACATGGCATGTTTTCCATTATATGTACTGATGTACACGAAGTGTCGTGCTTTCATGAAGACAGGTGAATTACAATGAAGGCTAAGATAACTTATTAAGGTTCAGTCTGAGATTTAAATCAACACCAGGACTTTGGTCAGCATCTTTTAAAATGCTTTGGATTAGGAACAGCGAATACGAAATTCTGAATATTAATAATAAGGCACTAAATATTATTAAAGGGTAATAATAGATCTCATTAGCACAGAATCATTTTGTCCTTTGTCCCTTTATTTGAAAATTGACACAGGAAAAGAAATTATAACCCGACGTTTTGCTCTCCATACTACCTCATCAAAGATCAACAATATTGATAATTACGTGCAAACCAAGGCTAAGACACTAACCTTTCCTCATATTTAGAGCTGAAAAATCGTCCAGGGTGTGAATGCCGACTGCAACAACTACCAAACACTCCTTTTTCATCAAAAAGTTGATTTTTTCCTTTGGAGTGAAGTGCTTCTGTAACTTCTCCAGCCTCAAATATCTGACAACTCTAAAATAAGGTGGAGCACATTATAGATTAGCGCATATATAACAATTGTTTTATTACTGTAAAAATAAACATGACATTTTACAAAATCAAGACATAGACCATGCATAAACATGATAAATTAAAGGAAAAGAAAAAAAATTGGCTGTTTGTAATTTTGATTTTAAATCCACGTAGCTACTTACATATGTATCAGGGCCCATGGACCTTTGTTGAAGCATAGACCCACTTTTCTCAGGGGCGAAGCCTGCTCAAGCTTTTACTCTTACAATGCAAATTTGTCAGCAAAGTTGTAATTTCTTTAGAAAATCAAATCCATTTATTGTTTTTCCAGTGATTGAATACAAAAATATTTGCAATGTAAAAGTAAAAAAGTGCTGGCTTTGCCATTGCTTTTTCATGGACTACATATAAAGTTTGTTTTCAAACTATTCACTACCCCCCCCCTTCACAGAATACTTTTGAATAGGCTTCAAAGTCCTTCATGATGCAATAATTACCTCTCCTACTTTGTTGTTAGATTTGTTATAATGATCAACAAAATCATCTGCTTCATCTTGATCAGCAAACTTAAGGCAGCCATGGTTTGGATGGCAAAACTATTCCTTGCCAACTTTTTACGAGTTAGACCAAAGCAAGCATCCATGGAATGAATAGTCTAAAGCAAACAAAGCTCTTTAAGAAAATAAAATGAATTTTATGGTAAACATGTAACACTTCATATTTTACAACAACATTAAATGTTCTGATAATATACGTGACAAAAAATATATAATTTAAAATAGTTCACAAAGCAAATAGTAGAAAAAAAGAAATCAAATACTGACTTGTGGGCAAAGAGGGCAATTTCTATAATCAATCAGGTCTTTCTGTATGAACTTTAATGATCTGACTTGGTGTTTGAAATATCTGACAAAAAAATCAAATTCTTAAATGATATAATATATACAGTCAAACCTCTTGTATCAAATGACCCTTTACTAAGCAGATACTGTGTAAAATCCAAAACTTAATCTCATATAGATAATAATAATGAAAGTATAATGATGAAATCTCAATCAAGCTGACACTTTCATTAAGCTGACACTAGTCTGTTGTCCAATGGTGTGTACTTAAAACAGGTTAGACTGTACTACTCTACACATATAATCTAACTATTAGGTCTACAATAACTGTAAATAGACTTTTGTTTTATAACATATAACTTATTTGAGGCAAATACGCATTATTTATGTTGTTTGTAAATAACAATCATTCAATAAAATTTTTTGCAAAGTACAACCCATCTATTTCCAATATTTGATGGGTAGACTATCACATGGGTGCACAATTCAGGTTTATGAGAAATACATACCAGTCTAGGCAGCATTTCAGGATAATCAACTTCAACAGTGCTGCAAAATTTGTGCAAGGATACATGGCTCTCGAGCAAGAATTTTTCAGCAAAATCCATAAAGTCAAAGTGAAATGCAATTTTGGGTTTAGAAGATGAGCCAGGCCACTGCTGGAGTTTAGTTAGTTTTTCAGCATCCTTAATACACTGACAAAATTAGACAATTTTTAAATGCTGCCGACCTAAATTTTGTATGAGATTAAAAATTGGATTATTTGATATGCAAATAATTAACATAGAAATTATTGGCCTAAATGAAGCTAATACTTAACAGTATGACTAACATATACACATTTACATATAGTCAAAGTCAAAATACTGTCATTGTTGCCATACTGTACCTTTTCCATCCACACATATTATAGTATGTGATTCTGTTGAAGAGCAGTTAGCATGCTGACTGTCACGTAATATACCACCAAAAACTAATGGAACAAACATTTCACAATCAGTCTAAAGAGTAGTTATTTATCAGAACATGTATACATTACATAAGGCACCATGCACAGCATATAGCAGCATATCTTTTTTTTTTCTTCTCTTCATTTGGAGCAGCTTGCTAGTCAGTTTCACACAGTTTTGACATTTCAGTGGCAATGTCTGGATCCACTTGTCATTTGCATTTACCCACTCCTTCAAATAAACCACACTTTCTTAATTTTAAAATTACAAGGTGTATAATAATATTTTACAAAATACTTTTTAGTTTGAATATTAAATATTTCTTAAAGGGAACTTGAATTTACACTTGTGGTAAACTGCTCTAATGAAACAGCATTGATAATAGCCCAATCAGTGTATTTGCTAAGCAGTTATTAATGTAGGGTAAATTGTTCGGCAAAGAAATATTGTCATTGTTGGAAGACGTAACTCTATTCATTTCAATTTCATTCAAAGTGAGCTAATCAAACTTACATGTGCTGATTTGCCAGGATCTTTGAGTGGTCCATGAAAACTGTTATCAGTTTCATCAATGAAAGTCATAGTGTCTGTTTGCATACATTCATCTGTATTTTCAGCAGATACATTATTTAAAGAAGTGCAAGGCTGAGAAGATTCTATATTTTGGAAATTGCTTCCTTCTTGACTCACGCTGCACTCTTCGTAATTTGCACACCGAGCGTGAAATACCTATATCAATAGTTTTGTGAAATTACTTCCTAAGTTAGCAACACATAAATGAAAGGAGAACCTTAAATAGATTTTTTTATATGTAAAACTCACAATGCGACGACGATCTCGTTCTGATAACACGGTTTCTGTTTCATTAAGCTTTGAAGGCCAGACACATATGCCAATATTATCCCTCTTAAGTGTGGGAGCTACAAGCAGTGGTGTATCCGAATTACTCACTCCCATCTCACCAGTAAAGCGACACACAAAGTCATCCTCTTTAAAATGCTTAGAGCAAACTTCGGAAGACGCAGAAGGTACCCAATTTTTTCGTTTTCTTTTGACAAAATCAACCCAAGCTTTTCTACGTTTCTTAGCTTCTGGTCTGGTATCATTCACAAATGGGATTCTATGGAGAGCAATCCCCTTCTTCGAATTTGATGTGTTTGAACATCCAAACACGACGCATCTGTGTGGCATCTTACCGGAAAATTTTTTTAGCAAACTTCTTAAAAAATATATCTTTTAGTGTTTGCTATAATACTAACGTTATAGAATAGCTGCTATTCAATAGCAGAAATGCGTTCCCGATGTGACGTCACACTGGCCATTTGTCATTATTAATTACCAGTCTTTTTACTCTCACCACAGAATAGATAAAGTAAATGGTTTGAACCCGGGAGTATCGTTATATGTTTGTAAATGATGATCGTCCAGGTTAATAAAGTCCTGAGAAGGACTGTTTTTGATGTTGTTGACTGACGTTTCGACAACCTTAGCGGTAGTCATCTTCAGAGTCAAAAAGATGACTCTGAAGATGACTACCGCTAAGGTTGTCGAAAGATGACTACCGCTTTTTGACTCTGAAGATGAAAGATGACTACCACTTTTTGACTCTGAAGATGACTACCGCTAAGGTTGTCGAAACGTCAGTCAACAACATCAAAACAGTCCTTCTCAGGACTGATCATCATTCAAACTCTCTGAAATAGATACATACAGAAGCGCCACTCGATGTCGGAGCCTTTGATGTTCGTGTCCGCAGCATCCGGGCAACTTTACACGGCGGCCATGTTTCCAGCCAGATAAATTCAGCCAGATCGCAATATAATATATAGTTCTGCGGATGGGGTTAGGGTTAGGGTTAGGGTTAGGGTTAGGGTTAGGACCCCACTGGTGCTGTCAACACTCCTTTATGGAGCAGAGGCATGGACAATCTACAGGCTTCAAGTGAAGAAACTGAGTGCGTATATGATGAGACAACTGCGGGACATTCTGAAGATATCATGGCGGGACAAGATCGCAAATGCTAAGATTCTCCGTCTGACTGACCTGCCACACATGGCTGACATGCTGATTCAAAAGAATTTAAGATGGATTGGTCATGTCCATCGTATGGAGAGATCTCGTTTACCACGCCATCTATTGTACAGCCAACTAGTAGAAGGGAAACGAAACCAAGGCCGACCTCGACTCAGACTCAAAGATGTCATGAAACGAAATCTAAAGAGGAGAGACATCAACGTGACAACCTGGAAGCAACTGGCTGATAACAGACCGGCCTGGAGAGCTTCAATCCAACCATAGAACAGTCCTCGTCGTTTACGACTGACTGCATGATGATGATGATGATGGATGGGTTTTGGCAAATAAACCCAAATATTTCTATAGATTGGCCATTTTTTTAATATTTTTTTGTGTGGATACAGTTAACACATCAAGCTCTCAACAATTTATCATTAATTCGACGTCCGTTTTGATAAATGAGGGTTTATTCGGAATATTTACAAAGTAGATATGTATCTGACGAGATGCGTACTCGGTATATGGTTTGTCGTCAGATTTAATTTTAACATATAAGAATTCTGCAGAGAATCTTGAAGACATTTGTTCTAACATTTGGAATCTCGGTCGTGGCTGAAACAAGTGACAAATCAAATTATCCTCCAGTTAAGTTTATATATTGCAAACGTTTGGCAGGACATTCGAATCACCAAAATTGTTTACCCAGGTGTTTTAAACTATCAGAAGAGATGCTGCATGGCCACTATGAAAGTCATCTGATGCCAAAATATTTCGTATTCATCACAGTTGTGACTTGTGAAGCTTGAATGACTTTTTGAGCAAGTTGGAACATAAGCAGCAGCATGTTGGCCTCCACCAATAAAGTGCTTGAATAGCAATTTGTAAAACATATACTGCCATATGGTCCACATGACTTAACTTTGTTATTTCTGCCTTTTTAAATTCAATCAGGAGATTATTTATATATTTGACATGGATGCTTATTGATGATGTGAGAAGTGAACATAAAAAAGCTTCCTGAATGCTTTTGTGAATTGGATTGGTGTTGGCTTGGCACTGTTTCCCCCTGTCAAATGTTTTAAAAAAGTTTTCTGGTGTATCTGTGTTTCACCTTTTGGTAAACATTTTACTGTGTAAAGTATTACAATTTAAATAATGGCATTAAGAGTAACTATAACTGGTTTTGTCAGAATAAGTTCTGTTTGTGACATGATTACTTACAATAAAAATTTAATTTACTGAATGAAGTTTATGGATTTTAACAAAAATTAAATTTTCGAGCCCTTTGTTGCAATAATTTCTCTCTGCTGGTTGATCAATGCGGTGAATCAAACATAATTCTAATCATTTTTCACATACAATTGTGGGTCACAACTCACAAGTGAAGTTTAACCAAAGAGCTAAGCTGTAGGAGCTTGACAATATGTTTGACATAATGGTAAAGTTGTTAATTTAATTGTAACAATTTATCAATAACTTCATTCTTTAAAAAATTGTAATTTCATATATTGTTTATTAAAAATAAGACAACAAAAAACATCTTTATTTGTAAGTTAATACAAATTTGACAGACATTATAGCCACAGGAACTCAATATACAATTACAAATAAAAACTTTAAATTACAATTATGCAGACAAGCTACATTGCAAATAAAAAGCCCCGATTCAAGAATCAAATATAAAATAAATTAGTTTAGTCCAAATTTTATACCAATAACGTCTTCATCTGAAGAACGTTCTTTACGCACAGTAGGTCGTTTTATCGCTTCTATCAAATCCGTTGACCATTCTAATAGGAAACTCTTTACTAGAAAATACAGAAATGGAATCACACTAAATATATTTATTACTTTTGTCCTAAATTATAAATTCTTAGGGCAACTGCCGTTCAATATAAGAGACGTTCTAAACATGGATCTCGCATACAATTCAAGGCAAGAAACTATAAAACCCGTAAAATTATATTTGAAGAACGTATTTTACAACAAAACTGTTTCTCACCTCATATGCTTGATATCCTATCCGATGGCATTAAAAATTTTGTCCATAAGTGAATTTAAATTCGTCAAATTTTCGAAAAGGGATTTACTATTTGTACAGCAGTTCATGTCGTGACGTCACTTGTGCCGATTGCGTATAACACGAAAACTACTTTTGAGCGATGAAATTAAGTTAATTTCAAGTTTATTTTTGCGCGATCATTTGCATAATGGCGGGTAATTTAAATAATGCAAACAATCGAGATATTCGACAGGTTATAAGCCGATATTTAAAAGAGGTCGTAGAGAATGGTGAATATTTCACAGGCTGGATTGATGGAGAGACTAACTTGAACGAGTTTTTACAAAAATACGAAGTTGCTGGATCGACATCTTTCAAGCTTCGTTCGTCTGCGCTGTGTCCAAATTATTGTAGATGGAACGAGTCATTAAACCATCGCTCTTGAACAAGTTAAAAATCGATAAGAACACAATGAAGCGCAAATTAAAAAAATAAAGAGGTTTTTTGTCAAAGTTCCAAACCAGCAAGCACACACAAACCACCCACACGGAGAAGTGTGCGGCATTTCCAATGGGGTCCATCCGCTTATAATAGAGAAAATCCACGAGCTTGTTGCAGCAGGTGAGGCATACTGATTTTAAACATTCATCAAACTCTAACGGCAATACGGCGTACTGAAAAGAAAGGTGGCCTTACATTATCATCCAGAACTATTGGGCTGTTTTTATTAAATAGGTGTAACACAGTGGCAGGAAGTTAAAAGTTACTTACCTACCATGTGGAAAACATATTGTTCAAGATGATAAAAGTCAAGGCCCTAACATAACCGGTCATTTTATCCAACCAGCACAGACATCATCAATCATATCTACTCAGCTACCAACAAACAAAAACTTAGCAAACTGGATCAGGTGAATTTGCAAAAATGATTGTGAATGGACAAGCAAAACCCCACATCAAAGTTTCACTTACGCATGTGTACAGTGAAGGAAGAAAGTGAAACGGCAGAGCCAAGCCAGAAACTTTTATATGTTCATCACGAACAGTGGCAGTTCTCCATATTACAATGGTGACTCCTGCACTTGGGACACAGGACGTACGGTTACACATTGTATGGATTGTTTTGTAGAGTCACCACAGTGCTCAAACCTATAAAGGTGAGCTATATATATACCGGGTATATATATATACCTATATATATACCGGGTATATATATATATACACCCGGTATATTGTACATTGCACTGTGCACAGGTGTGGACACATATTACTGTGTCTGTACCACATGTGCTTGTAGAGAGCAGATGTAAGGGATCCAGTGACCATTCATGCATATACATGTACCAATTTGCACTGACAAGACGTAGAACGCTGAAACATGCATGTCTGCAGATTGTGTGTGTATATATATATATATATAAGTTTGAAAATTTGTAATCCAGGCAATGAATATATAAAAGATAAAAAAAAATAAAAATCAAAAAATAAAAATCCGGAGAAACTTTTATCTTTTATATATATATATATGTATATTGATGAGAAGAAGAAAATACACAAAAACTACAATTTCATCCCGACAAGCCTGTTTCGTGATTTCTCACTCTTCAGGGGATAATATTAAATTAATCACTCTTCAGGGGATAATATTAAATTAATCACTCTTCAGGGGATAATATTAAATTTATCACTCTTCAGGGATATTATATAATATTTAATTTATATATATATATGTATATAAAAGATAAAAGTTTCTCTGGATTTTTATTTTTTTTATCTTTTATATATTCAATGCCTGGATTACAAATTTACAAACTTATAAAAAAAAAAACAAAAAAACGAAAGCTCAATAAAAATCATTTAAAAATCCAAAGAAACGTTTTATCTTTTATATATTCAATGCCTGGATTACAAATTTTCAAACTTATATATATATGTATACATATATAAAGACAAACCTGGGTTACTTCATAAGACTTCATATTGACTACAAATTTGTTAAAAGTGGTATGAAGTAACAAGACTATCTTCATTTACTCTACTCTGTGTAGGCACTCTACTGATGACTTGAACCATTGCATAATCTTTTATTCACTGATATATATATATATTTATAGGCTGAGCTATATTTTTAAAATTATCAACACATTTCTTGACTTTAGATACCTAAACGTTGAATGGGCAGCCCGAAAAAAACTTGAACATGATTTTAGGAGCAATCGGGTTGTTTACCCATTGGTAAGTCAATTTGTAAGGTACCCAAAGAAATATATATATATATAGTTGTAAACCCTCATCCAACAACAACAACAACAAACAACATTTATATACCGGCCAGTATTAATCCCCGCCAGAGGGGTTGACCGGTCCATGAATTTTTCCACGCCACACGTCTCTATCTCTCGCATAAACCCTCATCCATAAACATCTTTTTCTATCTCACATGTTTTAGGTACCACAGCAACCAAACTCAGTTGACTGTGGAGTTTATGTCATGAAATTTGCAGAGATGTTAATTAAGGTAACTCCATGCAGACCATGCACAGTTAATAATCTAAGACTTATCTTAGTTATTTGAACAATGACATACACAACTACCTGTAGCTTTATTAATCATGTTTGTTGTATTATATATGGCAAAACTCTACTAATTATCTTAAAACATTTTACTTTCTACTCACCATTTTCTAGGAACCATTGACTGGAGAGATGTTGATGAAAATTCCTGATTTTCGCCAATCATTCGATCATGCCGAGATATCAGCCATGCGAGAACGAGTCAAATCACTTTTGTCAACATTATAATTCTTGTATTTCGAACGATTTCTGAGCAAATCCTCTGTCGATAATTACTAATTTATCGCTAAATATACATGTTTATTTAAAAAAAGATATAAAGTTATCTAAACAGTGTATTTTAATATTAAGATACATTGTTTACTGTTTAGAGATTTGTTCACCCACTCATACTCATACTCATACACGCATATGATCTCTCAAAAGTAGTTTTCGTGTTATTACGCAATCGGCACAAGTGACGTCACGACATGAACTGCTGTACAAATAGTAAATCCCGAAACGAATCTCTATTACTGCTAATAGCACAGAATAGATACATATTCTGTATCTATTCTGTATCTATTCTGTGCTAATAGTAATAGTAATAGTAATGTGCGAATAGATATGTATCTATTCTGTGCTAATAGTAATGACAACCAGCGAAAACAACCACGATACCGTAAGCATAAAATATTGAAAATAATGCTTCAGGTTTTTGTGAAATAGACACACACATTTAAATGAGGTAAATCTACTGTAAAATAACGTATATTTTTTCAAGTAATGCTTTAGCTATATTAGAAATAAATATCAAACGGCAATCTTTACTGTCAATGTGTTAAGCTTTAATGCATAATCCCATGCGCATTACTTGTGTTTTTGACTGTTTGTGAACAGCTTGGTGCAACTGTCTTTCTTGAATAGATGGGTAAATCTTAGTTAAAATGTCCAAAAAGGAGTTAGAAAAGTTAGCTTACCCCTACGACTTAAGTCGACTGGAAATATATTATAAGTAGGTATGTAATTTTTTGAGTTTTTTTTGGTAGGATAGATTCTGGATGTCTTATAAAGTATTATGATATTCTGATAAATCTACTGAGAACTTATGAGGAAAATATCTTGAACTAGGAGAGCAAAAGAACGAAATTCAGAAATTCTCTAATCATGTTGCTGGTTCTGTTTTGAGCCAAGATATTAGAAACTGGATTGTTATTGACAACCATGGATCTACTACTGAACAGAACTACATTAAATTCCCATTGAAAATACTATTTCTTAAATTAAAGTGCATTGGTTTCTCTGACATAACACTTTTCTTATTGCTGCATGAAGGCAAACCTGTTTAAATAATTATAATGTAGGTGAAGATATTTAGCATGTTGTATAATTGTTATTATACAGACATTATTTATAATATTATGGCCTTGTGTAATGTATGTCAAGAACTTATTAATTCTCAAAAATGCTAACCTTCTTGCACTACTTTTCTTTTGTGTCCTTACAAATTACAGTTACCTATACTAATTTTTTCTAGGTTCAAACAACTTGACAAATTTTTGAATTTTACATTATGCCTTTGAATTTTTCTTTTTGTCTTTTGGTAAAATATCAGTGAATGACTTAAAATCAAGTTTATCTAAAATAGTATTTTGTACAAAGTAACTATACATAATTGGAAAAGTCTCATGTTGAAGGCAGATGTGGCTTCTTTTACTAGATTGCTACTCTTATTCTTTTAAATGATATCGTAATTCTTCAAAAGACATAAAAAGTTCTTTGTCATCAATTTTTGCTTCTTCCACATTCAACTTCATTGCAACCAATGCATCTTATGTGAATTTTTAATCACCTGGAATTGAAAACGTATGGATTTTGTCAGATGATGCAGTACTGTATTTAACGTTTCATGCATGTCATGATAAGCTTTTCTTGAGCAAATATTTCAAGGTAGGAGCATAATTTGGCACATTATTGAACAAAGTAGTTTTTATCTTGATTTTGATGTACTAACCTGTTTACTACACTGTATAACAAACAATTCATTCACAGAAACACCAGATGGCATTTATAAAACTTTTAGCATAAAGCAAACCTTTACACACCATCATCATGATTGTCCAAATCTGTCAAATTGTCCAGGCTAGCTGTTTAATACAGGTATTTTTTAATGTACGACTTGTACCAAAGAGCTCATTAATTAATCTTGCACTGCATTTGATTTCAATACAGCTCTGTCCTTAATATTTGCTTCATATTTTCAGAAAAATATCGTGAAAAAATCCTCCATTTCAACTCAGTTGAAACAAGGAGTTTTAAAATATGTATATCTCGATAAGAACTGGTTGCTTTGCCTCGTCCAGCAATCGATTAGTAAAGAACAAATAAGACTGGATAAACATAACTTAATTTATAACTTAGGAGTAAAAACATTTATGCACCACGACATAAGGACAAAATAACATGTTTAATTCATGGTTTAATTTCTTCTAGAGTTCTAATAACATTCATCAACTTACCACTTATCTAACTGAACGGTTCCTTCGAACCTCGCTTCCAATGTTCGAGGTTCTAAGCCATCTGCGTCTTCTTCGACCGACACAAAATTCTCTCCGACTGCGTTCGCAAGAGGTTCATTTTCGTAAGGATTTACAACTGAATTACCAACAATTGTATCCTCATCGTTGGAATTCGAAAGTAAATTTTCATTTGCCATATCTGAGTTTTCAGTATCCGAACTGCGTTCGCTTTCACTGCTTGAAGAACTCATATTTTATTGTGTATATGTGTTAAAAATCTAACAAAATACTAGTAAATCAATGCTCATACTTCGACTTCCGTCCTTTTAATTACGTTAAATCCGTATAATATTTCAGTAGTAAAAATTCGCACGCGTAACCCAACTTTGAGCAAAAATTTATTGATGATCCCGGGCTTCAATATGCATAAAAATTGTACCAAAGTGATCAGGAAAGATAGAACTATTTGATTATAGGAAAAAATCGATACCCAAAATTTCACTTCAGTAGCACTTTAAACCAACGGCTGCTTTGTCATGCAAGTGACTTCTCATGCACTTCACACTCACACAGGCAGCACTTACTGCCTTTTAGGTACGCTACTCCAAAATGCATTTCTAAAATCTTAAATTTCGCAGCAATTAAGACAGTTGCAAGCATTTCTTACAAAAAAAATGAAGACCTACCATCGATTTTTAGACCAAACAGAAGCCAGGCTTCACACAAAACTGTTTCAGGGACAAACAATAATTTGGTTAAATTTTTTACTTCTTTAATTTACTGTGAACTTCTTCTTTCAACTTGTAACCGGGGCAGGAAATGTCTTTTTTCAAGGACTCGACGTCATTGACTGTATTGTCAGAGACATTTTTCTTCTCTCTACTTGTACTTATAATAATGGATTTACCATCACAAATGTTTGTAACACACTCTATCTTCAATGGCATACCGTCATGAAATAAATCAATTCTGAGGATTTTCAGTTATAAGAAATTATCTTCCTTACGCTTAATTAAAACGTCAGACTTCCATCATTGCATCTCACATACGTCTACCCTTGCACAAAGGAATACACTTTGAGTTAGCACAATTCAATCTTCATTGACTATGCGCCTAGTCCTGTATAAATATAACTCCTTTATAAAAATCGTGAAAGTACTTCCTCTTTAACACAATGGAATCTTATCAATAATTTTAAATACCTCAAATAAAAAATAATTTTTTACCGTTATCAGGGTTTTCAATTTTGTTTTCATTGACTTCTGCAATTTTCACAAAATGTTTTCTAAAAATGTTTGCAACGGTATCGGTAATATATTTAAAGTAGAGAGGGTTAAAAAACATTCATACAGTACTCAAAACAAACACATTCAATACTTAAAGAAAGACCTTAAGTGAAAATACCAAAAAATTGCGTCATGCAACCCTAAATTTTCTACGTTGCTAAATATGAAAAAATATTTCTACGGCTTTCAGATAAAATGTACCGTGAGATCAAGTCTTGTTTTCCAGAAATTCGACCTTATGATTTTGTGCACTAAAGGAGGAAGTTCAGGAAATAGTTGTAGGAAATAGTTTTTATATTTGCCTTCCTCAACATATGGTGATAGGTGTGAACGAGGCTCATCAGGCCAATGCTGGCCAACGTTTCGTAGGAACCTTAAACAACCCTCCCACGAAGGTTGGTAATTTAGATTTACTGTTTTGCCATTGACTTCGAATGTTGTTAAATCTTTCAAGACTTTATCGTTGACACGCTCCATCCATTTTATTTTAATATTCAACTTTTCACGAACAAGTGGTGATTGTTTAATATTGTTCCAGATGTCACTCAGTATATTGAAGTTCTCCACGTAAGATTGTAGATAAGGGTGTTTTAACGCTTCTTCAGCTGATGGCCTGTCTTCTGGTTGTCGTTGTAGCATCCATGAAAGAAGATCTTCAAGTTGAACATCCTTGATTTCTTCCAAACCAACGGGTTTTCCCTCCAACATGTTTTGTAGTCTATACGCCTTTGTTCCAAAAGGATGTTTTCCTTTTGTTGCAACAAAATAAGCCACCATTCCTGCATTCTAAAATCAATGAAAACGAAACAATGTGAATAAAATATCAAATAAATTCACACGTAGTTAGTAAATGATTACATTTCTAGACCTACCATTACATCAGACTCTTTTTTGTAAGAAGTCAACTTGTCAACCTTATCAACGGAGTCATCATTTTCACTGTATGATTCAGGAGCAATCCAATACGGAGCTCCCTTGTTAGGATCGCTTACATGTGTCATGAAGCCATTCTTCAATACTCTACTGATACCAAAGTCGGCTATTAGAAATTTTCCTTGTGCGTTTCGTAGAACATTGGAAGGTTTCAAATCCCGATGAAGAATGGGACGCTCACCGCTATGAAGATCAGCTAATCCTTTTAAAATTTGTTTAAGAATATCGGGAAGTAATTTTTGATGGTAATCCAAACTATTTGAATTTGATTCCACATATTCCTCCAACGACTCTTCACATAGGTCGAGTATCAAATAGACATATTCTTTTCCAAGATTTTCGACAGAAAATGCCTATTTCAATAAAATATCCATTTTTCCATTGAAAATCAGGAAAATGCAATAAAATATCCATTTTTCCATGATTTATCGCATGCCTATTTTTCTTAAATAGGAGTACTTAGTTTTCTCCTTAAACCCTAAGATTTTCTCACACTGACCTCGTGATTGGCTGAATGTGAGTAGCCAGTTCAAGCTTTGGAAGTTGATGTATAAACTTGTGTAAAGTTTTCCCCATCTTTGGCATGTGAATCAGTTCTCCGATCTCCTTAGTTCCGAGATCATAGAATCTCTCCCAAGGGAAATCCTTTTTCTCAATCTTCCTTATTACTTCCATTGGAATTTTGGTGAACTGACGCAACGGTGTCATGGACAGCCACCTGGATGAACAGAAAAACGATACAGCTAAGATGTTCAACACGATAACATTACTATGGCCATTGGTCGACTCCTCACAATTATGTAAATATGTATCAATTTCGCGATCAAGCATAACTATATTGAAGAGATATGCCTGTGACATTAGTGATGTTTCAATTTTCCTCTTCTTTATTCAACATACAATCAACGATGTGCTCATCATGTATGTAGATGGAAAAGTAAGAGGCAGTTTTAACATAATACATGTTGGAAAGCGTCTTTCTAAGTGAAAGCTACACCACTCCCTACAGGTCACCTGTATGACAGCACAACACGAGTGTTGTGAGAACACAACAGGAGCGTTGTGAGAACGAGGCAACTTCACAAGAAATCATGCGTGGTGCGACTTACAACACTGAAGATAATAAAGAACCGAATCGTTGCCATCAAAACTATCAAATACATACATTCGTTTATTGATCATTTTGCACAAATTCAAAGTCTTGTCAGCCAGTTGCGCCCAGCCTCTGTTAACGACAATCTCGAAGATCGCAGACACAAGTCGACCAGCGGACTAAGAGATAAACAGAGCTCATTTCACGACTCTTTTACCACTACTCAAGAAAATAAAATGAATCTAATTTGAAATTTTGTAATCCGCTTACCTGGGTTACGTAAACCATATCGGAAGTAAGAGCAAATCCCTCCAGCTTTAATTGTGATATGTAAGCTTGCAACAGAACATTAACCTAAACAGAACATTGATAAGTCATTAATAAATCAATGCCAGTATAGAAGACTTTTATTGAGATATCATTCATAAGAAGTCATCAACCCAAGAATTGTAGCTTTGCTTAGTAACAGACCAACCCGATGACGTGGGTCTATTTGTTTATCAAAGCACATTTCTTTCCCTCTTTTATTATACAGACTCAAGGACAACAAGTTGAGCCTGCGGTAAGCGGTTCAGAGGTTAAATGCACAAAAAAAATACAGCAGTCTTAGTCGCTTTCTTGACTTTACCACCAGCAGTGAAACGTAAATTTTGTAACTAGAGTGAACAGCGCTAATTTAGCGCATATGAAAACTTTGCAATTCTTCTTCTTGCAAATGTACACACAGTAAATAAACAATGATGAGAATGGCGAGGAAGAGAATGCTATTTATGTTTTAATTGAAATTGTGCATATTACGGTTTATAAATGGATAACATGGCACATTAACAGTACAACATGGATAGCACGGTACACATTGCTTACTTTGGCACTTGGTTCTTCAATGCTTTCCTTGACAGGGATTGGGACCCTTTCTAAGAGTTTATTCAACTCAAGTTTCTCTTCCTGGAATAAAACACCACACTCCCCGTATATCAATTCACAAAACTTAGGCATTATAATACCACATTTAAATAAACAGACGGGTGATTGTGTTTATGAAGTAAATAGAAACGTCGGTTGCAAAAATACCTCTCTGACGGTGATATACTTGAACTCTGACGAAAGAGAAAAAACTCTGAATAATTCAATCTCGCTCAATGTTGGCTTCAATAAGCTGTTAAACACGGATATCGTGTGTTGTGTACAATAATAATGACTGGCGATTCTTCCCAGTTCAGTTATCTGAAAAGAAAAGCAATTTTACAATGAGAAAAGTTTTCAAAAATATGGATGATTTTTGAATGAAGCACAAACCTGAAAGTTACCAGTCTTCCTGTCATATCTCACCAAATTATTTTTATCCAACACACTTGCTGCGGAGTGGATGAGATCAGCACGTCTCTATAATAAAGATAATACATTAGCTCAAGGGGATAGAAAGTAATAAGTTAGGATAAGGTTGCTACCAGACTGTAGTGAAGACCAACAATTTGATGGCAGGGAAAACAAACCTGTTCTAGCAAATTGTCCTTTTCAAGATCATCGTAAGAAATTCCGTAAAGCGTCGGATTACGAAGCATTCTGATATATAGGTACGTATAACCTTGACAAGAAGATAATAATTCAATTTAAATTTGTCACCTTAAAAGCATGCTTTAAATGTGAAGAAAAAACACACCAAGCCAATTTACTGCTTCTTTGGCATTTTGAACAGTGCCAAGAACAATTTCTGCATTAAGACTATCAGCCAACTTATCAATGAAATGACTTTCCACTGGTAACTAAACAAAACATATCGTGATAACGTTTGCTTCAAGTCTAAAAAGACCCCCTCTCTCCAAAAAAAAGAAAACTATGCAATTTTAACTGTAAAAGAATACTTCATATAACGCAAAGTGAATGTTACTCACTTGCTGATTCATTAAAGACAGATAATATTGAAGTTCAGAATGGCTGGTGATCAATATTCCTTCGCCTTTCGAGTCATATTGAGGTCGACCTGCACGCCCTAACATTTGAAGGACATCTAAAGCACCCAGCTCGACCCAACGACCTTTCTCTGGATTATAAATCTATTTGTAAAAATTTCGAACGATATATATATCAACAGGCGGAATTATATAAAACATTCCTGAAATCTAATCGCATCTTTCCATTTGTATAAGCAGAATGACTATTACCTACGTGGGTATTGGAGATGGTGTTAACATACATCCCTACAGGACACCCGAGTCCCTTACGTATAAGTAGAACGATTAAAACACACGCGAGTGTTGGAGTTAGTGTACACATACATCCCCAGTACACACCTGAGTTCCTTTAATTATAACAGTATGAGCAGGAAGATTGACGCCCCAAGCGAGTGTAGCAGTTGAAACAAGGACTTGAATGTGTTTATCTGCAAACAAATCTTCGACCAAAGTTCTGTCCACTCTAGTCATTCCTGCATGATGAATAGCAAAGCCATAAGGAAGAAGATCTTTCAATTCGCCATTCTTCACTTGATCAGCTTCCGTCCTAAAATCAATTATTTTAACTATGGAGGGTGATTTATTATTTGTATGATTTACCAAGGATAATGGTGGATACTGTAGTACGTCCATAAGAGGTCTGTGTACTTGTACATACCTCAACACTTCCGTGCTAGCTGAATCTTCTCTCAAAAACAAACCAAGTGTATCTTTGTCTAAGCACATATCACGAACAGCACGAGCTGTTTTACCAGTTTCCTTTCTTGAGTGCACGAATATTAGTATTTGATTTCTTCCAGCGTTCTCCATAACTTTATCGTACACAATATCGTTCATCATCTATACAATATACCACCACTTATCATACAATATCATTCATCATCTATACATTATACACCCATTTATCAAACAATATCATTCATCATTCATAAACGATACATTCCAGTCAACTAAATTAATCGTTATTTATTACAAAATAGAAAATACTTTCCAGATTTCAAACAAAACCATTGCACTATGGTGATAGCCGGGAGGGTACATTGTTATACACGTTGTGTGTACATAACGCTCTCTTATGTGCTGTGTGTATATAAATATATACACAACGCTCTCTCAGAGCGCTCTCGGATTGTGTAGAGAAACACATGATGAGACATTCACCGCTTTGGCGCTATGCAAGCTCACATTTATAGGTTTGAGCACTCTGCTGACTCTACAAAACAATCCATAGAATGTATAACGGTACATCCTGTGTCCCAAGTGCAGGAGTCACAATTGCACTATGGTGACAGCCGAGAGGGCAGATTGTTACACACGTTGTATACATATGTACATATATATACCTCAGTGATCTCAATATTTAAGCTCTCAAAAACACACCTGCAATCTTTTCATCGGTTTCTTTTCAGTCACACCAATATATTGTTGTTCCAACGGCACAGGACGAAAACTGTTATCAAAATAATATAAACCTTTGTTCGGATTTACCCGCATGAATGTCGCCACATCTTCGTAGTTAGGAAGAGTAGCGCTCAGTCCAACCAGACGCACCAACTCTTGCGTTGCTTCTATTTGACGGATAGTTCTTGCCACCTTTAATAATATTAACTACGTAAGGAACAAGCGATAACACGTGACGTAACTTGATGTGAAAGTAACATCGTAGTTTGTTTCTTTTACCATTTCTTTAGATCAACAAACACTACCTCGAGTCAATTAAAACTTTCTAGCTGTATAGCTACGTGTGCAATGATCTATCTACATAACCTGCCATACTTACCAAAGATTCAAGAACCGGACCTCGTTCGTCATGAAGTAAATGAATTTCGTCGATAATAAGCAGCCTTACGAGTTGTGTGTACGTTCGATCACCGGCCTTTCTCGTTATAATGTCCCATTTTTCAGGCGTACAAACGATAATCTGTGTCGCGTTGATTTGCTCTCTGTTCAGCTGATGATCTCCCGTCAGCTCAGCTACCTTAATACCATATGTACTCAATCTCTAATGAAGAATGAACACAAGATGTCGTAATTTGTCAAGGCGTGCTTAGAATCTCAAGTTTATCTATCTATAATGCTTCATCTCGAGATAGACCCTACGTATTTCTTTTTTACTCTTAATTCATAAATCAATAAAGCTGTAACCAAAATCTGTAACTGTACTCAGAAACAGACGAGCCCAATTTCAAAGGCATATCTATATCATCGAAGTCAATTTCTTTTCCTCTCTTAATATACAGACTCAAAACCAACGATTTGACTCTGCGGTAAGCGGTCAAGAGGGTGATAGCTACCCTGATATGTTGGCAAAACTCTTTACATTAAAATATAGGAATTTATCTCGGTTTGAGAAAATTATACAAGAGAAGCGTTCGTACGAATTAAAGTTACACTCACTTTGCTGAAATTGGCAACCATTTCCTGCACAAGGGATTTCATTGGCGCAATATAAATGACTTTAAATTCATCGGCATTGATTGTTCCATCCAGATTAATGTGCTTGCTGATCTCTCGAAGTATACAAAGTAAAGCAACGTTGGTTTTTCCTGCTCCTGTCGGCGCACACAGCAAAAGATTCTCGTCTTGATGAATCGCAGTGTTGTGCAGGCGACTTTGAATACGGTTTAACGCTTTGTATCCTTCGAATGCCGGTTGCGCATAATGAGGCAGAGTGGTAATAGGAACCAGAGCCTAAGATAATGAATACCTTCATCATTCATCACAACATAAACTATAGATGAGCGAACACGACGTGGATGTAATTCAAGAGATAGGAAAATATTTGTCGACGATTGCTTTCTTTTCAACCTTATGAACAAAAATCACTAACCTCTCCTTCGTTAAAAGACTTTGGTTTTAAAGCTGGCACGTGCACTTCTTCGTAGCCTTTTCTCTGTTTTCTAAACGAGCCATCGGGTAACTGACATTTCTTGTTTGCCATGACATGACTGCCATCTTTGAAAGCCAATTCATCCAGGTCCAGAACGTTTCTCACACCAATACGGGCCTTCAAGTATACAAATAAGTTTCAAACATGTTCAGCAACACAAACGCATGTACGTATGGCAAACAATAAAACTCACGGATTCGATTTCAGCAAGATTTGCAGCAACACGAGCGTTTCTCGCAGCTTTTTTGCGACTTCTTTCTTCCTATCAACACAATGAAAGTTAAAACTTGTTTAAACGTGTTTCACGATAGAGGTGAGGAGAATCACCATATCAACACAATGAAAGTTAAAACTTGTTTACACGTGTTTCACGATAGAGGTGAGGAGAATCACCATATCAACACAATGAAAGTTAAAACTTGTTTAAACGTGTTTCACGATAGAGGTGAGGAGAATCACCATATCAACACAATGAAAGTTAAAACTTGTTTACACGTGTTTCACGATAGAGGTAAGGAGAATCACCATATCAACACAATGAAAGTTAAAACTTGTTTACACGTGTTTCACGATAGAGATGAGGAGAATCACCATATCAACACAATTATGAAATGTATTATTTTCCGCCGACTGAGGAACGACTTGACTAGAGTACCAGTCCCCGCCCACCCGGATAGAGCAGTAAAGATATAGGTATAATAGTTATCAAGAGTGTTGAGTTTAGACTACTCGAAGGAGCAGGGCCGTTCAGTCGATGTAATGTTTACTGTATTAGTTGTTTTGATGTGTAATAAATGTAAAGAATGCGGCGGATTGGCTGCAGCAGCTCCCAGTTGTGTGTGAGAAGTATTCTTTGTGTGTATGGGGAGAATCACTACGTATGTCAATCAGAATGATTAATGGGGGTATTGTGTATAGTACTGGTATTAAGAGTAGTAAATGCTGACGTTTGAAACAAGGATTGCCCCTCAAATCTTATGATGTACCTGAATTAAATCCTCTTCAACACTCTCAGTCAAAGCATGGAGAATCTGTGCCAATTCTGGATCATTCTCCATCTTCACTTCGATATCTTTCTTTTCCTTTGCGCTCTGTGCACTGGCGAGCAATGTACAATACAATACAGTCATACGATTCTTACGTAGAAGTTTGATCAACGCAAACTTGTCGTGACCCAACAACAACATCAGTTTGTTCTCGAGTTCAATTTCATCGCTGGCATTTTTAATATTTCCAAAACCTCCTCTGATTTCTTTCTGGATGCTTCTGCTTCGTTGTAGTACTTTCCAAGCTCTCGTTGAAGCCAGAAGGCGTCAATGCTTCGTGGATGTAGAACATCTTGTGAAGCTGAATCGTTGCCAGATCTTTGCTAAAAACACGCAAACAAAAAACCCATAAAAATGGACACGCAACGCGTACACATGGATCGCGAAGTAAATTATCTAACACAACAATTGGAAACAAAAGAGCATATACAATTTAAGATGAAGGAACAAAATGAGGAATGGCTCTATGGTACTAAGGTAGCGACTACGAGAACGTTTATAACTGTGGAGACCTTGTACTTGGAAGCAGTAGCATCTCCAGCTCAATATAAGGTGTGGGGGGGAGGGATAATATTCATACATACATACTAAATTGCCTTAACATGCATATATGAGTAATATCCTTTGTCAATTATTGAGCTGTTGATGCCACTGCTCACAAGACTATATCTTTATGCGTATTTACTACATGAGTACCCAGACCCAGTCCTTACCATAAAATATTTATGCATATTTACTATATCAGTACCCTGACCCAGTCCTTCCCATAAAATTCTTTAGCAATGAAGTACATACGAAAGGAAAAGAAAGATATCGAAGTGAAGATGGAGAATGATCCAGAATGAAGTACAACATTATTAACACAAGAAATCAATGAAAAGAAAAAAATCTTCTCTATATAGTTAAACTTAGTTGATTTGAAATCAGGAATTGTCAGCAAAACAGTTCTCTGTACATAACATGAAGGCAAAAATCTTGATTAATAACAAAATAAATTGTTAAGTATCTCAAGCATCAAAGTATTACTACGAACACTAAAGCCTAGGCAAGCAATATTTGCCTTTAAATGCTTTCATTAGTACCCAATCCGGCAATCCCCTTTCCTTGCAATACAATTTTCTTATAGTCGTGAAGCATATGCACAATAGTCTTCCAAAACTCACTTCTTCATCTTCATCAAACTGTACGGCAACACCATATGTCTCATCCATCACTTCGTCTAAATAAGAAAATTGTCATTTAAACAGAAGTCATTGTACAGACCTTTGTTCTTTCTTAGTGCAGATTGAAGAAATTCATGTCATTTCTTGGCAGCCAGTGTGACCAGATTTTGTAATTTTTATCACCCGATCTGCTCTAGCAAGCTTAGACAGCCCCACCTGATTAAATAATTGTCACATTTGGTACAGGGGGGAGCATGCATTGCACTCGGATCACCACATTTTTGACAATAAATTATTCATGTATGGTCACACTGCCAACAGCCTAGTTTATCACATCAACATAGTATGTACATTTTGATCAACCAACTTAGAAGCATCTTTTGCTAAACTCATTATCACCATGTATGCACTTTCTTAATTCTGCTCAATATTACAGCAGCAACACTGATCTATGAGCTATGTCTAAGGCGTCACATGACCAGAAGTATGGTGTTTGCATAATTTAATTGAACACTGTTCAGTGATGACAATATTGTGAAGCATTAATTTGGACATTGCTGTGATATCAGGTAAAAAAAATTATGTTGTTAGTATCTTTAGTACAATGGAAACCATAATACGATAATAAAATGATAATATAACCATATTTGTGGATGTAGATCGTCCAGGTTAGTAGAGTCCTGAGAAGGACTGTTGTTGTTGTTGACTGACGTTTCGACAACCTTAGCAATAGTCATCTTCAGAGTCAACAAAAAACTTCTTATACGCGACACGTAAGTCAACACCAACAGTACTTCTCAGGACTCTACTAACCTGAACGATCTACATCTACAAACATGTAACTATACTCCCGGGTTCAAACCATTTACTTTATTATAACCATACAACATTGTATGCCAAATCATTTTAAATGAAAAGTAAAGTGTTCAGTTTTACATGCAGCTGACTTTATGAGACATTTTTTTGTTACCTTCCTCCATTTTATCATGATCTATATGATAATCTGTAATCTTCTTGCCAAGATTGACCAGCAATGCATATCACTCGTCAGCCATGTTTCCAAGCAAACCAAGAATATCTTTATGTCTTTCTTTGTCCTATAAATACAGTGGCGATCAACAATTCAGGTTCACATAGACTGCCATCATTAGTTAAATGACAAGTTAAAAAGACATGTTCAAGCGTACTCTAATTTTATCATTCTTTAGTGTGTGCATACTTTCTGGACAAAAATAGAAAACATACACCAAGACTTTTACAAACACCATTTATTTAAACCACGTTGTATTCACATCAACTGTTTTATACACGACTGGATACCCAGTAAGTACACTTCTTACATTTCTAAAGAAAGTTACATAAATTTCTTCCCGAAACTATGACAAAATAATACTTTATTTACAAATTAAGATATAATCTTAGTTTTTGTAATATGAAAAAGCACATATACACCAAAAACACCTTTATGATGGAGGCTGCAGACTCAGATTGCATCATAAAGATAGCTTTTTTTATGCCCTATCAAACTATGCTCCTTATGAAGACCAAAATATATATGATGTGCATAAAAAATTATTTTGTTTTATAATTGTTTATGTCAAAGAAACATTTATGGGTAAATGCCCTTTCTCTTTTAGGTATAGAAAAACTTAAAACCTAAGATACTTATACTAATGCATTGGCATTTTACATTATGAATTACCTATATGTTAAACCTTACTACAAGTCTAAAACCGCTAACGCATCCCACACTGGCCTATAATCTTTATTAAAACCTATATTTTTGGAATCGAGGAGGCACGTCAGTTTTTGCTCGATGGCTCCTCACCATCCTTGGGGTCTGAGCTTCAGCTGGAATCTGAGCAAGGAATAAGGGTATCGAATTTGAGTCTTAAAATATTCGCAAAGTGAAAAAATAAGTAACAATCATATTCTTACATTGCTGGCATTTGGAAATGGCTGATTGGCGTAACAATTCCAATAAACAGGGTCTAAAAAAAGTTACAAACGATTGGAAAATCTGCCTTAACAAAAGCAGAATACTAATAAGCAAAAACATCAATCACATACCCATCACTGGTGAATAACCCATGCAACATTGGGTCTATAAAACAGATCGCGATAAAACATGAAAACAATGACTTAATACATTCAAAAACGAAGCAAATACACCTACCTGTTGGGGAATGTAAGAATTTTGAGGCCAGTAGACTAACTCTGGCTGTACGAAGGAGGCCTCCTTCCTAACAGCCGGCCCGATGTTTATTTTTTTGTTCTTGAAATATATCACTCCGATATTTTCAATAATTTTGACGGTCGATTTCGTCTCAAATGTGACGAAACCGTAACTGAAACAAAAAATAGATGCAAAAATAAGGTTTCGCAACAATGACGATGGCTCATTACATAAAACGTGGAGGTGTGAGTATTTTCGCAGCGCACTTGTCACGTTAATTTGCAACTGTTTCCTGACATGGCTTCAAAACAATCGTCAATGATGCCAAAAAAGGAAGCAGGCATAATAGGCTTCTCCTTCAAATATTGTATCGGAATTTATGAAGAACATTTTGCTGCGTGCTGGTCAAGGTGAGAAAATAACTCATACTACAAGTGAATACACGAGAAGATCACAAACCCTTTCGATAGACCTGAATGGTCCAAAATTATTTTTGCTTCGGTGACGTGTCCGAACGCACGAAAGAACTCCGCCAGTTCAACTGCGCTGGTCTAAAAAAAAGAGAAAAATATGAAATCAAATGAGAGAGAGATACTCATAGTAAATCAACACACAATTGCTCAAAAATTCGATTAATTTTTAATATTGACAAGACAATAATGACATGACTTGTGTACAACACATCTAAATGAATCATGAAAACAAATCTAAGTCTTTTTGAAATGAACCTTTTCAAAACAAAATCGCTCAACATTTGATAGAAAACTGCACGTGTAGCTGCCTAACTGGAAAGCATTAAATACTCACATTTAGAGGAAAACCTCCAACAAAAATTCTGTTCGGAAACTTCTTTCCATACAGGTACGTCTGTATTTCAGCCTAAAATCAAGAAACTTTCATTGAATGAAACACAAAACACCTGCAAAGCTTTACAGCACATTCGGATATTCACACTTTAGTAGCCACATGGGGTGGTAATTTGCGAAAACAAAACGCAATCAAACATCTACAATGCAAAATTATATACAAACAAAATGTAACTATACCGCTTTAAGAGTAATATATGACTGGTATAATGCAAAATCATAGCAAGAAAAAACATTTCACAGAAAACAGCCTTTCAGAAAAATGTTGTCTTTTGATATGCTAATTGCATCTGGTCTACTTACCATTTTCGGGAGGTTAACTTTTGTAATTCAACTACCTTTTAAACGCTAGAAACAAACAAATACTTTGTTTATTTTGATACAATAATTGTTGTGCCGATTTGTAACAACAGTTTTGCTTTACATTGCTTTTCTTACAAACTAATCACTTGAAATATTCTCTTTGCATTATTAAAACGTAACATTCAATGACTAATTGTAGCAACAACTCAAAGAAAAATAGTAAATTTGTCAATAGTCACTCCTTTGGGAATAGAATTGAACAATCCCACGCTATGCATTGACCCATAGAACTTTTTCATGCATTAAAAGATAAATCAAAACTCACCCAAATGTACTACTCGCTTCCGAAGGAGCTCGTTACTTACACAACATGTAATTTTTCTTATCACAACATATTCGAGAGTATAAATTTCACATTGAGGTGTGATTAGTGATGTCTGTGTCACCGAGTTTAATGACACGTACTTGAAAATTAATCTTTGCAAAGGAAAATACTTCAATTAAACACGTGGTCGTTTCATTTTTTTCGCATCTCATCATTGATTATTTTTCCATTCATCAAAAAGTTAAAAGCAATAGAAAAAAGGAAAAAGCACCTTTCATGAGTATATCGATGTTCACAGGTCATAAATATTTGGTAAAGAAAGATTTAAGATTAGATTATAAAAGGATTTCCTGTTTTGTTCGAACGATGACTACCACAAGAATATGATTGCAAATTTGAAATTTACTTTTTCTTTTCAGTACAACAATATTTGTTGTTGGAATTCTATATCATAACAAGAACATCAAATTGTATGAAATGTTAAATTACGCCTGTTCAACGTCGATAAGCAACTTTCAAAAAATTAGTGATAACATATAATAAATGTTATTAAATGTTGTTTGTTTTGTTATTTTTCACGATGGGCACCTGCAAGGTCAATAGAATTTGAAACCATAGACTCTTGAGTGAGCTTATCAGTTATATTTATATTATCACCAAGCGCTCAGGTAGCACTTTACAGCCGCTCTTCACGAAGTAAAACTTGACGCCATTTTCTTCAAATGGGAAATCCGCAAATGGTTTCTTTAAAAATACTACGTACTTAAGTTGAAGAGGAAACATTACACGAATGTAATATAACTAAAGTTTTATATTGCTCAATGGTTTATTCTTTCTTTCAAAAATCACGTGAAATATTAACACAAATTTTGGGGAAAAGGTTTTTAACTAGAATCACACAAGATGCAAATTTACTTTCACTTGTTTCAGAAATTGATACAATTAATTGGAGTATCCTAAAAATGAGTTCGTTTAGGACCGCCTCGCTCTACGTCGAAGGTCAAAATAGATCAAAAAACGTATTGAGAACAAAAAGATAAAATTTGTCCTCAGTATTGAGGTGGCATGATTCAATAGTATAAATATACATAAATGTGTAGTAGGTTGGTCGGTGACGAATGTTTGGAGAATGTGGTCAAGCGGCTTAGTTCACGTCACGCATTATTACAAATACGTATCCACTTTTCTACATCTTAAAGTTCAGTCATTGATACAGTAAAGATCTAAAGATCATTGACAAATGATCAAGATTTAAAAATTTGCATTTGCTACAGGGTGCAACGCAAGCACACTACAAGCATCTCATCATGAGAATTGATGAGTACATGCTTGGTAACAAGACATGAAATAGCTATCAACAGTATGACATGATCCTATGGCATGATAAAATATCAAACGCTCCTCTCCTGAAATTTTTTCAAGAGGTATATAAAAAAGTAACGAGGCTACATACCTAAAATCTCCACACTAAGACTCTATGGATCAAACAAACGCGAGTACGACTACGAGAACGAGTACGAAGTTTAACCGTGTAAGGGAATGGCACGAGGAAGTTTGTTGTCGTTGTTGCAAAATTTTGCTTTAGTTGTAAACAACGGAACGAGCCTTTTCATTGTGTAAAACACCGACGTTTGCGAAGCAGCTACGGCTCTATTTGTCAATAATGATACACCCGTTTCACCAATTCTAAAACGCTTAAAGCGTTAGTTCTAATTTTTAGAAATGCGTTACGAAGCGTCAATAGAATGTATTCCGCGCATTCTGATGTATGGGATTCACGAATTTATGAAATACTTTATTTAGTCAACTTTATTTTCCTGTTCTGTGATCTGGCTATGGCGGAAAACGTTCGACGTTCAGCTTCTTATGATATTTTAAATGACGAACAAAAAAAGATCTTGAAGGATTATTATGATCGAGGAATGATTTCAACAGCTGCTTGTATGAGGGATGTCATCCAAGAAGCTGCGAACCAAGCTAATATCACGTTTGAAAGAGTCAAGGTAAACAGAATGCACGAGTTTATATTTTTTACCCGCGCTTTCTTTTTCATTAGCAACGAGTGATCTTCGCCAGTATTTTTTGATCTGATGGGTTTAGTTATTGTTTCTGTAACTGACATTAAATATAGCGTGCATTTTATATCTTCTAATTATACCCTTAACTTATATAATAGACAGTTTACAAGATGTCAGAAATATATAAACAGATATACTTAGGATTTTCCCTTTATTGGGAGAGCATGGTTTATTTTTGACTGTACCACAATACCAGTGTGTTTATATTTAGTATTGCTTGACAATTGAAAATTGCAACGTTTGCTGACGATGTTTGTAAAATTTATTCTACTGTTAAAATTTTAACTTGGCCTATTAAGCGTATAATTATTATATTTTTATACTCACACTTGTTTTTACTATGTACTATAAAAAACAAGCTTGTTTTTATTTGTATTCAACCCTCTCGAGCTTTTTATCTTTCTCTGTTGTCAGATGTAATATGTATGTACCACTGGTTACTATATCTTTTTGCATTAAATCGAACTCTAGTTTTCTTCAATAATGCAATTTCTACTTTATAAAAGTAATAAGATTATAGTATTTACATACATATACTCATTTCATAATATTCATTTCATAGTATAGAGGTGCCACAGGTAGTACATCTTAAAAAGGGGTGGGAAAACTTGGTAATTTTTCTATTTTTGAGTATGCCTTAAAGACTGTTGATCACAAATTTTTCGTAGTATTCTGAGTTTGTTGAAACTTAAGGGCAGGCATTCTGTAACATTATCACAAATGTAACATTATCGATTTTCCCTCCAATATTAAACACATTTTTAATGCCCACTGGTGTTTCCCTTTTCCATGAAAGACTTGCTTGGGATTCATGCTATAACAAACAGGGACCTTATCATTTTGCAAATAATAATCCTGAAATGTAGGTAAATTTGAGAATTTTTCCATTAATTAATTGTTTTTTAGAAATCCATAGTTTTCACAGCAAGTGAAATTTTACATTGCATGAATAAATAACTGAGCAGACTATGCTGTATTCATTGCATGTTTTTGAAAGTTTGCAAATGACAGAATCGTTGCAGTTTATGGAGACTCAATAATGTTGAATCTACCTTAAATTGTAAATGCTAGAGATGTTTTTCTAATTTCTACTCTCTGCTAGTCACCCCATTATAATGTATATAATTGCTTTGAAGGTTTAATTGCATTGGGTGCATACCATTGAAGGTGATCAAGGCAAAACCTAAATTAATATAACTTAACAAATTTTTATTAATTAGGTTAATAGTCCCTAAACATTTTATCTTGTTCAGGAATAAGTCACATTTTTACTTTTTGGCTCTCCTAATTTGAATAATTTGAGAAAGAAGTTTCATATAGATGGTGGTTCAGTTACATACTTAATGAATTCTGTTACTGGTGAAATAAGCTCATGCTTATTGCAGAATTTTCTAATGAAATTGTTTGATTGTTTGGTTTGCAAAGAAGCATTTATATTTTTTAACATAATAATTTTTTGTTGTTTAGACTAAGTTAGCATATCCTATTCTTCAAATAACTTGAAGGCTTCATGTTAGTACTCTATTTGTTCATACACCATGTAGTAAATAACCTTGGTTAACCAGGTTAGCTACAAGAAAAAGAAAAGTTTTATTTTTATTTCTTCTAGAAATGGATTGGGAATGAAAAGCAGTCCAGAAAAGAAAAGCCAGCTCTCATCAAGATGAGGAGTTAAGACTGTGCCCTTCAAAGCGTAGAACTACAGCATATAATCTTTTTGCTCATATGCTGAACTCAGGTTCTGATCTATAAACTGTATGTTTTTATGGCCTGTACAATATGTATCATCTTTATTCCACCAAAGTGCTAAGACAAAACCTGTGCAGTCGTCATTTAAACCCAAAAGAGTACTTTGTTTCTTTCTGTTGTTATATGCCTTTTGTAAATATGCATTTTGTAATTTTAGAGGAATGCAAGCTGCTGAGCTCTAATTCTGAGAAGTTGAAGTTAGCTGTAGACCACTGGAACTTGTTAGGGGCAGAGGAACGTGTGATTTGGGCAGAAAGAGCAAAGGCTGTTCAAAGCAATGACATTCATGACCTGACAGTTAAGCAGCACAAACCAAGTGAAAAAGGGAAAAAGCAGCTTTGTCACAGGTACAGCTGTTATTACCCACTGTACATATGTACAGTATTATGATATAAGAGAATGATTTTACTTTGATTGTTTGTGCGTAGATTTAGTTGAGCATCTCTATAAACATAACGTGATGGTTTGTAAATTTCAATCCATTCTAAAGGAAAGACAATTTACCTAAAGAAAACTTCTACTACAAAAAAATTTGTAAAAGTTGTTATGAATTGTTAGAAGTAGCAAATAAATGCTGAAATTTAGCCAAGTCTACTGGGTTACAGATCCACAAAGTTAGCATTTTGTAACGTTTGCAATTTTACTGTGAAAATATTAGCATTGATAGACCTGTGTCATGGATGTGAAGGGGAGTATTTTGTAAGAAATTTTGCAATCCCCATAGCTTTAGATAGATTAGGGTGTCGAGGGGCTCTAATTTCCCCACAAAATAATAGTATATCATAAAATAAGCCCAAAGCAATTATGATAAGTGTTTAATCTAACACATTGTAGATGTGTTGATTTTTATACTTTTGTTTACTTAGAAAAATTTGCTGAAAACTTATGCTGTGTAAATTCAATTAAATTTCTCTTTGCTAGCTTACTTACTTAGAAAGTCTTGGTTGTGAAGCAGTTGTTTTATTCTTGGAGCCTGGTGATTCTTGTCTTCAACAGTTTGGAACAGAAAAAGGAATCAACTTTTTGAATAAAAATGAAAAAATTGGTGTCAATTTCGTTGAGTATTTGGGTAAGTGCTGTACCTACACAGTTATTTTCAGAAACTTGTGGGTCTTGGAATACCAGTGCATTATTTCTCAAGCATTAGTGCTGTTCCAGGAATGTTTATTCAGTTGTGCCCTTCGGATTTCTTTTGAAAGTAAATTGCTTTCAAAAGTAATCACTTGGGCTCAGCTGGATATATGAATAATCCTCTCCTCCCTTTGTAGTTTGTATAGCTAAAAAAAAAATTTGTATGCTATATTTGGTAGATGTAGACCGAGAAAAACAGAAATGGACTCATGAGGATGTAAGAATGCTCTTTAACAAGAAGTATAGTAAGTTAATTTTTTATTTATTCTTGTATGCAGGTCTTCACCATTGAGAGTGACGTGATCATACAGGTGTAATTTTAACCACCACAGGCCTGGATAAAGTATTTCACTCTATGGCTGCAAGTTTAAAAAAAATCTTTTTTGAATAAACTTTTCATTAAATACTTTTGAAAACAGTATAATGTTGTTAATAACAGTTATGTACAAAGGTTGCCTGTATATTCCTGAATGGTAGTGTTTACCTTACAGTTATAGTTTAATTTTACCGTTTGATACACCTGCATAAAGAAATCTTCTCTGTTTTTTAATAAAAAGTATATGGAAGATACAAAATTTTTTCCTGTGAGTAATTTTGTAAAAATTACCCTTTTTACAGTCATGTTGTTAAGTCATTATGTCTGTTAGTTCTTGTCAGTGAGCATTTTTCTTAAAGGTGAAGCAAAAGGTGTGACTGGTTCTCGCCATATCTTTCTGGTGGTTTTCATGTTGAAGGACTACCAGATAACATTCGCCAAAAACGACAATATGGCTCAAAGGAAATACAAAAATCATGGACTGCCAGGACAGTATTTCCTTCATTCTTGAAACGTCAGAAGGTGCACCTTTGCAAGATTTTGGTGAAGACTGCAAGGAATTGCTTAGTAATGTATTCGGAAAATGTGACTTTAAAGTATCAAAAGAAGATGTGGAGGTATTGGATATTAATGAGACACATAGCATTTCTGAAATCAAAGAAATAATATCAACACACTGGAAAGTGTTATGTCCAGAAGCTTTGACAGAGTTAAAAAAAAAATTGAATGCATATGTGTCTCAGGCAAATCATTTCGTTTTGCCTGTGTACTGTGATGATGAGGAAAGTCAGTTCTGGCTTTTTTCATTTACGGGATCTCTACAAGCTCTGCACCAGATAAGAGGTAAATTGACAGGATGTTGGCTAAATCATGAGTCAGGCAATACCTTCCACCTTATTAAAAAAGGAAACAATCTTTGGAAAAAATATTATTAAGGACAATGGCAATGTAATTTTTGAGACTCATAGGTTTACTGATTATACCCAAACCTTCATATTGAACAAGTCCTTTGAAAGGAAAGTTACTCAAATTTTATCAAAACAGGGATACATATAGTTTTCAATTTCACACCACTGAAATTGTTTACAATGGTAGCAGGTAGCACTGCAATATGTGCATTGTAATCAACTCACTTTTCAGTTTTAGTTGGATTGTAAATAAGCCAGTTTTAGTTGGATTGAACATGTTTTTTTAAAAGGTAATATTCTACTATTCACATATAAGCCATGCAGAATGTCTAATTCTATAATTAAAATTTCGAAGATTAAAGCCCAAAAGTAAAAACTACATTATAATTTTTTTTGAGGGGGGGTGTTCTACCTTTCACCTACACAAAGACATGCACAATTCAATGGATGGGCAAATAAGATATCATATTTGTAAAAATAACTGTAATAATTGAGATACTTATGCATCAGTAAAAAATATTTATGTTTGTGCAATATGTTTTAAACGTCTTGCTATTGACAATGCATTGCAACCAGAAGAAATAGCTTTGGACAATTGAGTTAATTTCTCTTGCTGGCGTAATGCATATGTTTCTTTTATTGCAGGGAGAGTAGTTACTTTATGTAGCAAGATGCCAAAGTCTAAGCAGTCTTGTTGACTTTAGTTGTTCTCAATACTTCCACATAAAGCTTTGACTTCATTAAGATTCAGAAATACTGGCACCCAAACTTTTTTCTTTTCTTTTTGTTTCACAACAATAATGTTTTGAACTCCAAGACCTCCGTGAGCAAATCCACAAGAATGCAACAACTCTATGCCTTCCCATATCTTAATTAATAAAGATATCCACTCGGCAAAAGTGATTCCATGAGTATAGCACAATCCTTCCAAGGACATGTACACTCCAGTTCCTACATGACCATAAAATTTTGTTATTAAAATGAATGGCTTTTCATCCCGACAAATACCAATTAAGATTGGAAAACATGGATGAGATGGTAAGCTAAGAATAGTTCTTGCTTCATCAATGACATCAAACTCAGATTTCCTCACTGCAACTGCCATTCCTCTAAACCAACATAACTCCATGCTATCAAAATTCCCATTTGGGAATGAATATGTAGGCTTCTTTGATGAGGAACGTAGCAATTCCGACCGATTGATACTCATGCAATCAGGTAATCCACATAGCATTTTATTCTCAGTTGAGCAATCTATGAAATGAGACAAGAAAATAAAGTTTGCTCCATGTCCAAGGTAGTTCTTCTCAAGATGGAAAATCATTCCCCCCCACCAAAAAAAGGTTCTCAATATTATATACAATTAACACAAAAATTAAGCCCTTCCTCAAATTATTCTTATCGTGTGCCTCTGAAATTTATGTTAATTAGGGACTGCGCTAGCTATTTTAAACCATACCATTTTCCGTATGACATTGGTTAACATTTTCAATGGCGTCGATGTGGCTAATGCCAGAATAAAAGTAGACATGATTGCTATGAATTCGCTTCACCGTAGGAAAACACTTTCGTACAATGAACCCACACTCTCGAACAGATATACTCTTATATTTATTTCTCAACACTTTTAGAACATCTGAGCATTTTACGCGACATAAGGAATCTTGATGAAACAGAGTTGACAACCTATAATAAAGTCATATATAACGATTAAGGACACAAGCGACTGCGTTCACGGATCACCGGTTGACAAAAAACACCACAAGTGGAGACATTCTCACCAATTTGCACGAGCTTCTCGAAAGTGAGACGGTTTATGTTTTCTTCTTGATGCATCTTTTTTCGGCATTGCTTCAACTCAAATGACATAAATGGGCTTTAATATGGACGGGCAGTACAGTTTATAAGAGTATGCAACATTGTGAGTAATGTCCATTGTCCATATATAAAATAAAACAATAGTACCCGCTCGGTGATTGGTCTATAGCCGTGTGTGCATTAACCTGTGCAAACCGACTTCAACTCAACCAATCAAATCAATCAATTAACCAAAAAAAATTTGCATATCGATGTAAATTTATCTGTTTCGAATTATTGTTTCGTATCATTGTATACAAGAGGTAAAAACTGTTTTTCGTGTTTGCACCATTGCACTGGCTTATGCAAACCTTGAAACCGTTTGTGGGAACTCGAGCAGATGCAATCGTGCAACCCAAGACCTTCGGTCTCCTGCTTGCACTGATCTGCTCTCAAGTTTTCCCAAAGGTCTCATTGGTTTGCATAAGGCAAATTGTATTTCTCAGATGATATATGGGCATATGTGACGAAAAAGATCTAATAAATGCCTTATATTAAATTAACACCTTATACATATTAAACGCCCCCGCCCCCTCCTTGCAACGCTTCTTACTAATAAAGTCCCGTCCTCGATAGACACCCACCACCTTCACAACATTAACTTTATGATATATTAATTATAGTGGGTTCACAATTTGGCTTATAAGAAGTTTAGTTTGTCTTAGTTTTGTTTTATTTGTTCACACAAACAACTAATATACACGTCTCTCTTTTCATTTCGCTGCACCACAACATCTAGAATTGATTAAACGCCCTGGCCGTTGATAAATTCATTTACGGTACCAACGAACACTCAAAATAAAGCAACATATATATCATAAATGAATTCCACTTTTAACATTTCGAAATTAGAATTCCGCTGCGTCACATTTTCACTTTACGGTGCTTTTTGTGAAATAAACAGCACCGCATAATCCAACATCATCGAGCATATGTGATTGATACACAAAAGTATGCAGTAGCCAGTAGCAATGTTTTGTTACAGCAAATAGTTGACAGTTGTGGCTTTAAATTTTTTTAACAAATTATTTTTCAAATAAAATATTGATTTTTTTAGTTAGTACAACGACCCTTATAGCATGGACCTTATTAGTAGCAGAGTATGTAGCATCTTATAATAAAAACAACCCCCAAAAAACCGATCACGTTCTTTTCTTAACATCAGAATGTTACTTTAGAATGTGATTGTAGGGAGGGTTGGTATTGCGTAGAGAGTATTTGAAGCTCACGGCAAGAATGCGTGATACGTAATACGTGCAATGATTACCATAGGCGTGCAAAGTGACAAGAGTGTTCGATCTGTAAAATGGCTTACGTGTTCTGTGAAATGGCAACAGTGCTCAGTAACGCAGATTAATAATTTTGAGTTTTATATTATTTCAATCCAAACACGTATTCGGATTCATTTCTCATTTACCTCTTACAGCGGCAGTGCCATCAAGGGTGCCGAAACAGACCGCACTCTCTCGTCAGCATCGTTTCGTTAGCTTGAGCATCGGTAAAGTTAGTCATCTGTTTGGAGTTAATCTCGAGCAAAATATGAAACATGGGAAGGCTTGTAACGTTAAAAGACAAATTGGATGATTTAGACGGACAAATCATGAAATTCGGTGTTTTCAAAAACTCGCCCCAGACCCCGTTGATCAACTGACAAAGCTTTGGATACGTCTCGGCTATTTTATATATGATATGAATGCTCACAATTTTAGATGAATTGGGTTGGGCAGACAGAGCTAATTGGTTGGGATATATGTCGCATATAAACTATTACTTGTAAGACATTGATAAATAATAAAGAACATAGTTCTCTCACAATTCAACGACAGGTCAAAACTTCCGGTGTTGTACAGAAGAAGAGAAAATGACTGTGCACTAACATGACGTCACAAAACCACAAATGTTTGCGTGATATCAGTTATACTAGATACGTGAACAACTAAATTACATAATAAGTACATAAAAAGTAGCTATTAGTTTACGAATAGTAGCTATGTCGTCTATTCAATGTCACTGTCCACTTCTGAGAGCTCTTCGATGTTTCCATCTTCAGTATCGGATTCCTCATACGGTGAGCTTTCAGATTCATTGGGAATGTTGACATCATTGGTTAAGTTGACAATCTCAGCCTGGAGAAGAAAAGTTTCTCCAAGTGGAAGCTCAAAACTTTTCTTCAAGCTGAACAACTCATTCCGCAATTTGGTTTTAAATCTTATCAGTTCATGCTTTGAACCAAGCATGAATTCATCGCTGCTCAA